CCTGGGATGTATTCTAGAAATTTTCCTATCAACTCTGGAAATTACATATGCAAATTTGCCGAATTTCAAAAACGAGAGAGACAAGAAAAGAAAATCCCTGGTTGGTGGAAATATGCTACAAACGGGAAATCGGCGCATGACGATCAAGTTGATAATGGTTGTAACCTCGTTGGTTGTTTAAAAGAGATGAACTTCAAGAATGTGGCATATTGGATAGCAGAAGTCTTGGTCGACAATAATCAAGCAAGAAATGGGATCTTGCGTAAAACCAGCAACGTGATGAGACAGTTTTAAGAGATGCTAGTAACATTGAGACAGTAATCTCTGCCAAAATATCACATTCTAAGGAATTAGAAGCTCTACAAAAGGCGTTGACAGCAGCCGATATGCTACTTATCAAACGTGGGAGTGATATTGCTGCCAAAAATAGAAACAATGCAAAACGTGTACAGTACTTCCTTGGTAACTAAATACTCGTAAACATGTATGTTTGTATACACTTATATTTTACGTAACTTTATATAGGTATATACTCACTTAACACACGCATTTACTTTTTAAAATAAAAGCATTATCAGTCTAAATACTTATTTCCGTTTTATCTGAAATTTCGATTATACGAAAGCACTTGGGTTCACATTATTTCGGATGATCGGCGTTCTACTGTACTTCATTGGCAGCATATTCAGTAATAATTTTTTCACTGACTCAATACACATGCAAACCAATACACATAATCATCCAGATGCCATCTTTCTACTCAACCAACTTTCTTTCTGTCACATCTTCTCAGACATAAACACTACTTGGCTTCTTGCAACCAACAATGCAATGCATAGCGACCAAACGTGGAATAAACTATTTGCCCACTAACTACACACTAAAAACTATCTAAACTGAATCCAAATTCAAGATGAGATGTAAATAATAACAGTTAGCGCGTGATCTCTCGGTAATAGGTGGCGGTCGCCTAGCGGAATAATGCGCGGGGCAGGGGCAGGGCAGGCAGAGTTGCATTCAGGCCACCGACCGTCGCGTGTATCACTGCGTGCTCGTGTTTTCGTATTCATCTCGCTTGGTTGTTGCTGTTGTTGTTGTTAAGTGTATTTGAGTAATTTGTTAAGTTTCTGTTTGGTATTGTTATTCCTCGTTATTATTTGTTTTGAACGAATCCTGAACATGTCCAGTACATATACTGCTACTCCCTTAGCCCTCCTAGAAAGCGATCAAAAAAAGACATCTTAGCGTAGACATGAAAGATGTCATATTGAATACATTCAAGATAGAGCGGAAGGAAGACGAAACATCAACTAATCCGAAAATAGCTCTGAAAGTGGCAGATAAAATTGGGGTATGCCAAGCGAACATAAGAAAAAGCATGCCTTTTCCAAGCCAATGACGGGTAAAAATCGCAAAAGTATCATAAGATCGTTGGATGACGCTGACAAGCATGCGATTCGGAGGAAAGTGTACGAGTTCTTCTTCAGAAACGAAATACCGACAGTTGATAAAGTACTACGGGAGGTTAACGAGGATGCTATGTTACCAAATTTCAAACGTTCGACTATTCATAAACTTTTGAAGCATCTTAATTTCGAATGGAAGAAACGAGGTCGTAACAGCTTACTTATGGATAGAGAAGAAATTGTTATGTGGAGGAGAGAGTTCACCTGACCAAAATTAAATCATTCAGGGATCAGCTCAGGAAGATCTATTACCTGGACGAAACCTGGATTAACGTTGGACATACTACTCCGAAGGTATGGGTTGACAAAACTGTGACTTCATCCAGAAGGGCATTTCCAGATGGACTATCGACCGGATTGAAAGATCCAGCAGGTAAATAGATCGAAGTAGTTCACGGTATCAATTTTTGCGCACAATATCTCTCTATCTTCGTACCTACAAGACGTGCATGTGTACTTAGCGGATTTTATCTTTCTAGGCAAAGGAAAAAGGCTCATTATTTGCCACATTGGGGGTGTAGATGGCTTCGTGGATGACGGCTTATGGTCTTTTGTGTCAAAAAAACCACTGACTACCATGAAGAGATGAATGGGGAAGCATTCGAGAAGTGGCTTTCAGGCATTTTACCACGTCTCGAAGACAATTCTGTGGTTGTTTTGGATAATGCTCCCTATCATTCTCGCAAAATAGAAAAAAGCCAATTTCAGCTTCTAGGCAATCAGACAGAGCTGGCTCCGTTCCAAAAATATAACTTTCGACCGTTCCTTACTGAAATTACAACTATTAGATACTGTGAAACAACACAGACCAAGAAATGATAAATATGTCATAGATGAAATGGCCAAAGCACACTACAAAACAGTACTACGTTTGCCGCCTTACCACTGTCAGCTCAACCCCATTGAGCTCATATGGGCAGATGTTAAGAATTTTTCAGCTGCACATAATACAACATTTAAATTTTCTGACATGCAAGAGCTGTTCAGAATTGCTATACATAGGGTCACACCAGAAAGATGGCAAAAATGTGTGCAGCATGTTCAGGAGAAAGTGGAGGTAGCAATGTAGGAGCTGGACAACATAATTGAGAGAGATTTTGAATCCATAATCATAAACATTAATGACGTTAGCCCTTCAAGTGAGTCTGAGTAAGTTTCGCGTTTTTGTTTTGTCACAGAATACATATTATGGGAATCCTAGTTATAGTGAAATATTAACTTACAGATAAACTACAGACAATGCAAGTCCGAAGTGCACCTTGATTGAACAGCCTTATATTTATTCCATGTACAAAAGTGTCTTCTCTACCCCTCGTTGACTACGGATATAGTCTTCACGATGACATTTTGTCCATTTTTTTGATGGAATTAGGTTTTTTACATAACACATCCGTGGATGGAAGATTGAGAGGCGACGCTTTCACTAACATTATTCTGGGACAGTTCGTTCGTGAACTAGTTCCTTTTGGTCAGCTCACCCATTGAATTAGCCCACCAAAATGAACTAGAAAGCACATTACTATAACCAATGCTTCTGTCCAGCACTCTGAGCGTTTTGTGACTTAAAATTGCACAATCGTCACACTATCTTCCTTGTCGGCCTCCACGACATCTGAAACCTCAGCTATTGTAGAATGCTATTTCTCGGATTTAATAGCATATCGTTCCTGAATACTGGAGAAATTGTTGCTGGCCTTCGATTGAAATTTCGACTGTATGATTATATCAATAAGGAAACACGAAACGCTTTCCATACAAATTATTAATATCTTTTCACTGCCTCTACATCTCATTTGACTTACCGTTACAGCAATTTTACATAATTCATAATTCAATTATATTTTCAATTGTTTTTACGTATTATTATATGCATTAAATCGAACGAATCTAAGCAAAACAAAGATAATGTAGGCTAAAGAATTTTTTGGGAGGAGGATATTATAAACAACCTGTTGATACTTTCAGTCATTGTTGTCTAGAGAAATAGCTTAATAGGCGGGACAGGTACTCCCATTTTAAATACAGGGTGTGTATTTTTCAAGGCTAACGTGCTACTACGAGGCGGGCCGATAAGTACTCGGCCTACAAAAGAAAAACGAAAATTTTTGAAAAGTGGCGATTCATTTCTCAACATAGTCTCGTTGTTGTGAATCTAAAATCATTTTAAAATTTTGGGTAGACCAGTTTAGAATCCTTAAATGCGTTCGCAACAAAATCATCAGAATTAAAATGAAAGCGACAAAGGCGCGTAAGAACGGTTCGTTGATGAAAAATTTTACACAATTATGTCATAAACTGTCGTCGGATGATGAAAGTCGAACCGGAAAAAACCTGAGGAATTTTCAGTGTGAATTGCATTAAGTGGAGACAAATTACGCACCAGCCCATGACCAAGACAAATAAGTATAATTGACAAAAAAATAGTTTTTTCCTCGCTGAAATACGACAATGGTCAACAAACTTTTGATTTGTAGTTCTTCCATGACAATTTGCAGAAAGATGGTCAGTTAACTACGAATATTAGAACCGATGGAAGAGCGATGTGGTTTTGGAATAAAAGTAGAAGTACGGAGCCTCTTGGGAATCGCATCCTTCAATCAGACTCCATTGGCTCTACACAGGGCTTATCATATAGATTTTTGCAGTTGGATTTGTGATTCTTGCTATCTGAAACTATGGCCCCGGTGGCCTTCCTATCAAGTCCTAGTAGATTCCCTGTAAATGCGGTCCTTCGTTCCTTGAAGCGCTATTTCGCCTCCCATTACCCTAATTGGCTGTTCCTCCGTTTTTCCAAACATCATTATTTGCTATCGCTGTCAAAAATTACGTGCAGGAAGGCTTAACGTTATTTTAGTTGCTCTCTTTAATAATTAATATTAGGAGATGATCGAGATAATTTACTTGACTCTATTCTTCCACTAATATACAGGGTGTAAACGGTATGTAATGATAACACTAAGTATATTGAAGTTAGCAAATTCGAGATTGCCATGCATTAACAAACGTCCAAATTTGCTGCCAAATTTAACAGCTAGAAAATCGAGCTATTATTTGCCGCATTTCCATTCGCTGAGGGGATAACGGATTGTTAAATGTAAACCTATAACGTATATCAAAATACATGAAAGTTGTCCTGTTTTTTCTGTACAAAAACATCATGTTTGAATCAAAAAGTGGTCTTGTTGATAATACAGTCGAAGTTTCAAGATTTTATTCAATATTTTAATAGAAATCACTGATATTCAGTGACATTTGACAGCTTCTGTCAAATTACATTTCGATAAGGTATTTTCCCATTGGTCCATAATATTGATGTTGATGAAATCGGCCCTTAATGTTGTAAACTATGAAGCCATTTAGACAAAAATCTATTGACTTTTGGACCATGGGTCATATAAACTTTTTGGCTTGTTTTGATAATGACTACCATAGCGTTTACACCGTGTATGTCACCATATCTGATCCAAATGTCAACTATGTCATATTCGCAAGTTTCCACAACGGGAATGCCAGTGTGATTTCATTAATAGTAAGTGAAAGGATGTGGACGGAGAGAATATAGATCGATTTATGTATGATCAATATTACAAGGTCTTACAAGGACAAGCACTTGTTGCGACGACTAAAATTATTAAAAACAAGTGCTACTAAGTGTTAGATTTATTTTCGCTAATCTTGCGCATTTAGATTTTATCACGCAAGTTTCACTGTATCTGTTTGTAAGTTGTCATCGACGAATCCAGAACAGATAGAAGAAGTCAGTCAGTGGGGGATCAAAGAGTACTTGACACAAGTCAATTATTTGATAGTTCTGTCATTAAATTCGTATGCTTGATGTTATTTTTTTAAGGTGCGTGTGTTTGTAGGTAATTGTGATTTCGAAAAGTGGTACTTCTTACATAATTTGCTAAGAGCGGCATACGCCTGATGAAAGTAGATCCACCGGTGAGTATTATCACTATCTTGATACAATGCTGTCACTTTGATAGGCATTGGTAGACAAATGAGTTGAAAGTATGCACTAAAACTATACAATTTTGGAGACAATGTAGACATATCCTGTCCTGGGGAGCTGCTTGCTTGCATTTTCACAAAATTTTGTTTTTTAAGCAACCATCATATTTATGCAATAAGATAACTTTTCGCACCGATGTTCATAATTTAAATTTCTGGTTTCGGTACTACATATCATCTCTTCCCCATCAAACCTCTTTATAATATATAATCAAATTCCTAGTGACTAGAAAATCTGCATTCACATCAGTTTAAAATCATATGTAAAAAATGTATTGTTGAAAAACTTTTCATTGCGTACTAATGTAAATGATCCACAACCGATCACACTTATGAAAATATAATTTTTGTACGATCACTCACATTTTTCTTTCGGAGCTTATTTTTATAAATGTGTAATAGCTACAGGCACGAACTTACATAATTTTCAAATGCTTTCAACCCTTCTTGTAAGATATTTATTTTATTATCTTGTTAATAACGGTGAATTGCATTACGTATATGGCCTTGCCGACGGTAATGGTGAGCAAGCCAGACGAATTTATCACCAGAGATATCCCGATCGTGCTTTGCCAGATATTCTAACCTTTTCTAATATTCAGCGTCGTCTTGTTGAAACTGGTTCTGTTCGAAAAGCAACATCTGAGGGTAGACCCTGTATAGGCTTTGTTTCTTCTAATCTATTCGAATTCTTTGATTTTCATTAAGGTACTTGTCCATATACGAAGCTTGAACCCCAGGAAATACCGTGACCGTTATAAATGCTAGTCGGATGCTAGTCGGATGCTAGCTTTAATATTAATTTTCTTATTTTCAGGTGTTTGTCAAGTTTGGGGTTTTATCATCGATGTTAGCCATCTAGTTCTGATTTCTTTGTATCCTTAAATTTATTCCGTATACAAATATACTAAGTGACATATAAATCCGAACACCCAGTTTAAATGGTTTTATTTTAATAAAATTTTGTATAAGTACTTAATGAAGCATAATAAGTAAATGATAAAAATTTCAAAATGATTGCACTGCTTCAAAGCCCTTTGACCTTTAATAATGTGTGGATGCACCCTGATGTGCTACGCATTCTCCAACGCGCCTAGGCATGATTCTGATCAGGTGGTCAATGTCCTCCTGTGGTATCTCATTCCAGGCAACCACCAACTCCTCTCGAAGTGCTTCTAGAGTCTGAGGAGGACGTTGCAAATTGAGCAATCTCCTACCCATCATATCCCACACGTGCTCAATTGGGGATAAGTCGGGAGATCTTGGTGGCCATGGTAACAGTGTGACATCATTATGTTGAAAGAAGTCTATTGTGACTCTTGCAACATGTGGTCGGACATTATCTTGTTGGAAAGTTGGATCTGCCAGGGTGTCAATATAGGGTAAAAGATGGGGTTCTATAACTTCGTGGATATAACGCTGCGCGTTCATGTTACCTCTGATGAAGATTAAAGGTGATCTGGAACCATAAGCTATAGCACCCCAAACCATAACTCCAACAGTGTGATGAACATGTCTTTCAACAAAAAACTGTGGATTCTTCCTTTCACCACGTCGCCTTCTAACCCTGGCACGACCATCGTGCATGCCTAAACAAAATCGAGACTCGTCACTAAAGATAATACTGTTCCATTCCTGATCCCAGAGTGACGGTTGTCTGCACCACTCAAGGCGATTACGTCGGTGTTCTCGAGTTAAAGGGAGGACCCAGTGTGGCCGGTATGAAAACAAGCCAAAACTTCTCATTCGTCGGTAAACACTTCGCATGCCAATGTTCTGCAAACCATTCATTTGCAATGGACCTGGTAGTGGAGAAACGGTCCCTTAAGGCCAATAATCTTAGGCGGCGATCTTCACGGTCTGTTGTTCTACGGCGGCGTCCAGTGCCCCTTGCTCTTTGCGTACGGCCTTCTCGAAGCTATGCCTGACAACACCTAACCACAGTGTCTACACTTCTTTGCACTCTAATTGCAATTGCCCGAAAAGAAAGTCCAGCTTCCCGAAGTCCCACTATACGGCCCCTATCAAACTCACCAAGTTGACGAAATCGTACAGGTCTCCGTACTCTAGGCATCGTAACCGATCGTAAAGGATGTCAAGAACCAAAATCCGCCAACGTTGATTTTTTACTGCGGCTGAAATATTCATTTTTAGAGCGTTCGTGAATTAAAAAAAAGCAGTATAAAAACCAACTGATAAGGCTGACAATTTTTTCACTTGTTATTTACAGTAAGATAAATACATTCACCAACTTTTATTAAAATAAAACCATTTAAACTGGGTATTCGGATTTATATGTCACTTAGTATATTTACTTGTATGCAAGGGTGTTAATTAAGTTTGTACCAAATTCTTCGTTCTCAAGATACATGGTATATCATTTACCTAATTATAATTTCGCGGTGGTTTTTATAACAATAAGGAGCTATTTTAGCCCCAACTTGATTAAATTTATTAAGTGCAGTGGGATCTGAACGAATATTTGTGACGAAAAAATGTACGCCACTGACTTTTATACAATTTTTATCATGTTCTTTGGATTAAGCAAATAGAAATACAACTTTTTTGTTTCTTAACTTTATTTGTGTTTTGCTTAGTTTTCGAGAAAAAAAATCCACTTAATTGCATATCCCCGGACCACACAAGGAATATGGGGAAACGGAGCTTTGGAGATTTTGAAAATCGGTCCAGTGACGTTGCAGAAAAAGTCAAACAATAAAAAAATAAAATCGCTCAAACTTAGTTTTTTGACGATCCTATTCTTTTTCGAAAAAAAAATTGCAACTATTAAAAATTGGGATTAGGGGTTGCAGGGGGTGTATATCGATTTTTTGACGTTGATGTATCCTTAAATATATATCCATTACTGTCCGGTGTCGATACGTGCGACGTGGTCCTCGATGGACAAGCGTCGTCGTCGGTGGTCGTACGTCACAGTCGGCAGTAGCTTCAGCACTGCTGTGCGCCGTGTGATCGCAACAAACATGTGCGCCTGCAGCAATTCTCCTCAAGGAGAGGAAGAAGGTCATTTAATTTTTTGTTATACATGTTCGTAGCTAACTTTTTCCTTGCTTGTGCCAATCCCGATGATAGCGTTAAGCAAGAAGTGCAGAGTCAACCTACTTGACGCCTTTTATTTGTATTGCTCGAACAATCGATTAATATGAGTATAAATATTACATACCTACTTACAACAAGATCCTAATCATCCAGCAACGTAAATTCCGCGTAAGGCGAAAAAATCCGGGGATTATTCGGTTCGAAGGACCAAATCGCGCGCGTATTTTGGTACTACTTAACGTTCGGCGGTTGCGCGACGATATTTCTCGCGGTACGACCTCTTCGGTACCACCTGCGTGCACCTTTCCAACGGCAGCTGGTGAATGTCTCCGCGTTTTGCTAAACGAGGCCTTTGCGCCCCACTCACTATTTTTAGCCGCTTTTCGACAGATTAACTGTTCACGCAGATATTTTAAGACTCGCCGGTCGATTGTCTTGTGCATTTTTAGCGGTGCGCTGGTCGTGCCTTAAAGGTACTCTATAACTCAGGTATGCGCTTATAGCCCCCCGGCGCATACTTTGGACCCCAGATATGCAGGGCGACTTGTAACGTCACGTATTCCTGTTAAAAGGGGTGATAGATTAGGTCAAAAGCAACCGATTTTGTCCTATCCAGAAGTTAACCGTTTTTGAGTTATTTGAATTTTATTTTTTTTTTATTTTTTATTCCGATTTCAGACTGTTAAATTTGAAATACAAAAAACTACATGTTTGATTTTGAGTTTTTTGTTATCGTCGCATTGCGGACATTCCAATAGTTCATAATAAGTAATAAAATGTTGAAAACTTAAAAAGTTTTAAAATTACGCTTTTGAAATGTATGATTTTCTTATTTTTTTACTAACTTATTCGATAAAAATGTATTGTGTAAAAAATCTCCTAGTAATAAAATGTGCATATTATGTAAATCTAACAAGCTTTCATTTGAGGTATAAAAGTTACAACTAACTCAAGTACAAATACATAAAATTAATAAAAGATGAGTAAAGTTGTACCACCAGGCTTTTCAAATGTCCCCACACACAGTAATCCATCGGTGTGAGATCTGGGCTTCTTGCTGGCCAGGCAATGGAACCGCATATTTTGTCTCGTCGCCAATGGGACGTCTTCCATTAATGGAAACAAGTGATTTTTCAAGAACTCTTCATACACTTCTCCATTTAAATTGGCGGGCAGAAAATGAGGTCCAATTAAATATCCATCAATGATGCCCATCCACACATTGACTGAAAACCGGCTCTGAGACCCCGTCGGTCTTATATTTCGGGGGTTTAAAGCTTCTTTATCAGCCCAGTAATGAGCATTATGGTAGTTAGTGATCCGGTCCTTATCAAATTTCGATTCATCGGTCCACAGAATTTTCTTAAAATAGTCTGGATCTTCTGTATCTGCATGTAACATGTACCTGCAGAAATCTAAGCACATGCACAGGCGTGTAGTGATAAGGGTATAATCTTGCAGTATGCACAGTAAACCATACTTTGTATTGTGATATACCCAACTGAGCAGCTACAATGCGCGTAGACGTAGTAGGATCTTCCTGAAACACATGAAGGATTTCCTCTTCATCTTCAGGAGGAGGACCACCATCACGATGTTGCCTTTGAACACGTCCGGTTTGGCGGATGCGCCGATACACAGAGTCAACATGAGGTGTTCGGCGATCCGGGAAACGTTGCCGATATTCACGGCGGGCAGCTGCAGAATCGCCGTTACAAAGTCCATAACAGAACGTTATGTCTGCGTATTCTTCATTTGTAAAAGTTTGCCCGTGCTCGCTATTGCGAGGTCCTGGCGGATCTTCTGCGTCTGCCATGATGATAAAGAGAATAAAAATCAAAAATGGCGAACCTTCCTATCCTGTGGGCAATATTCGGGACCTAGATATGAAATAGAGCTTTCAAAACACTATAGGTATTACTTTTGTATAAAACTTGTTCTTATAAACGGTCATACAATAATGTTAAAGAAGGATCAATTCATAGCGGGACATCCTGAAGTTTATTAATAGATATTCCAAGCACAAAGCCTAGTTTTGAGCTCACGGACTTCTTCATAACCTAGGGCACAAAGATAGCTCATGAAGCACGGAAACTGTCTATACTTGTTTGTCGCTAAGCTCGGTTTCGATAATTGCCATCCGATGGTATACTACGAGCCGCTTCCCACTTCAGTTGGCCCACTTCAAGCATTGTACCAAAATGTGCCTTTATAAACTAAACATGACGAAACTGTTTACTTCTAAAACAATTTATTTTCTCAAAAACATTTTAGATACATTCTAGTCGTAAAAAATACATACAGCAGACGCTCGATAATGTAAACTAATTTAAACCAAGTGTGGTTCACATTATCGAAATGTCTACATTAGCGAACGTGATTTATATAATATTTGATTTATTAAAAGAAACGTTTAATACATACTATTTATAACAAAATAAACAAGTATTCTAACAGCGATAAGTATTTTTTTAATTAGAAGAAAAATAATTAACAATTTTTGTCTGCGTAAATTTTCGCTTAGCATTGTCTTCCAATGCCTGCGCCCGTAATTTACGAAGAACTAAAATATCCGTGTATGAAACTTCTTTTCTTTCAGCCCAATCTAAAGCTTGGTTAAAAACTTGTATAGCTTGCGCGTCAGCCACTACACTTCTGACTTCAATGGGATCGTTCTCATCATCCTCACTGTCCATATCCTCCTCCTTATCAGCATCATTCGTCTGCTTATCTTCGTTAAATAAATTAATATCAGCAGGAGTATAAACAATGTTGGGATTCACTGTTTTCAGTAAATCAACAACATCCAATGACACACTAATAACATTATCATTATTGGAGCGCAAACGTTCTCTAATTACGCTTAAGGGGACATCGTCTTCTTCATCATCTTCATTATTGGTACAAAAGAGATTGTTCCAACATTTTTGAATAGTTCGCTGGTTAAGTTCATTCCAGGCCATATGTAAATCTAAATCAGCTTCTCGTAATGTTTTCAGGATTCTTTGATAAGACAGACGAAAGTAGAAACTTCCTATAGTATAGTTTGGTGAGTCTTATTATATTCTGGTCCATCGGTTGAATTAACGGTGTTACGTTGGGCGGCATGTACATGATGAAAATTTACCCATCCCTGCTGCTCAGTTGTTGCTCGGGAGGATGACTTGGTGCATTATCCAATAGTAACAACGCTTTTATTGGATGCTTCTGTTGTTTTAGGAAACCTTTTACCTACAAATTGAAAACACATCTTCAAATTATGAATAGAGCATTTGTGATAATTGATTGTCATACCTGAGGGACAAAGCACCTGTGGAACCATTTCAGGAATATACTGCTAGTCATCCAAGCGGTTTTTGAACAAGGGATATTAACATTTTTAAATGAGCGCGGATTTTTTGATTTCCCAATTACCAGTGGCTTTATTTTGTGTGAACCATTAGCATTAGTGCAGGCTAGAAACGTTATTCGTTGTTTCTCCGGCTTTCTTCCCGGGGCAGATTTTTCAAATGATGCAGCATAGGTTTCCTCTGGTAACATTTTCCAATAAAGGCCACTTTCATCTGCGTTGTAAATTTGTTCCATTCTTAAATCTAGCTCGGTAATTGTTTTCATCAATTTTTCTTTGTTTGGTTGCACTAGTTGTGGTTGTGCTGATAATTTTTCACCAGATATAGACAGCAGTCGAATTCCATATCTTGTTTTGAATCGTTATAGCCAGCCATCACTAGCTACGAAATTTTCAGTTTCTTTCAGTTTTTCATTTAACAGTCTCGCTCTCTGTTTAAGTACTTCGCCACTAACTGAGACATGATTTTCCCGTTGTTTTAAAAACCACTTATACAGGGAATTTTCCATTTTAGGTGCCTTCGCATTTTTTTAAGTTTTTCTTTTTCCCGAACCTCCAAATGTATTGCACGTTCTTTGTAAAATTTGAGTTTTCATACGCTTAATTTTACAGATTGTTGCTTTCGATACTCCATATTTTTTTGCTAACTGTGCCACTCCCGCACCCAGTGCAACTTCGTCTATGATTTTCACTTTCTCACTCAACTTTAAACACTTTCTTTTATAGGATGTGGATGCCATAGTCGTAAAATATATTAACGCGTGCAATGTATTCACTTAAGTTCAAAAATGAAATACATACGTACGTATAAACGTATCCTAAACGATCATACGACTGACCGAGTTTGTCGTATTTTATCGCAGAGGTGAATCCCCTACACTCTACATCATAAATCGGGGACTCCCCGACGCCCGACATAAATCATCGAGGCTTCAGCATTTTACCGTCGCGCTGTTTCCGTGCGCCGAGAGTTGTTTACGTTATCGAGCGTACACATTGTTTACGTTATCGCGCGTTCCGTTTGATTCTAAAGAACGGAGTTTGTGTTTACATTAGCACAACTTTTCATTATCCTGTGTTTACGTTATCGTGCGTCTGCTGTATTAGGAGAAGACATCGAGATAATTTACTTGACTCTATTATTCCACTAATATACAGGGTGTACATGTGCCATTTCTTATTTCGTTTGAGCCACGCAACAGACACCAACCACTATTCACACGCGTTACCGACTGACACTGACTGTATGTATACAACTGAATAAAATAATTGTAAAAACATCGTTCCAAATTCTTTCGCTTCTTTGTTTCCGATGCGATGAACCAATAAGGCGGATTATATCCGTTGTTGCCAAACACGAGCACATGATATTATTATTGAGACAGGGCGGCACTCAAACTTCCAAAGGGCTATAACTTTGTTACTTTAATTTTACCAGAAAAATGGTAAAGGAAAAATACATTTCTTTTGATCAGATCTACTCACTGTTAAAATAAATGACTCAACTTCGAAGTCACCCTGTATATTAGCAAAATATTCATTGTTAATATTTTAAACCTATAACATCCTGCTACATTTTTATTATTTGTGTTTGATAAGAAAAAAACTAAGATTTCAATAGTTGGGCCAACTGAAGTGGGAAGGGGCTCGTGTACGATTAATTAATTTATGTTTAGGTCAACTTATTCTGTAGCTCCGGATACAATAACTATCATCAAAATGCTACCTGTATCCGTTGGTAAACATATTTCACTTGGTTAGATAAGCGTGCTAAATATATTTTTAGAGCAACTCGAGGATAGTTCGTTCATTATACGAACAAACATCAACATACTATAGTTGAGAATAGTTGTACGCGCGGTAAGCCAACTTTTGTCAATGTAAGTTAGATCTCTTTAATACTTTCTATCTGATATGAAAGTATCTATTTCCCGACAGGTGTTCTGTAAGTGTTATGCTTTAATTTCTGTTATTAAACATTATATAATTACAGAGAACGTTTTCCTGGATATTTGCTAGTAAATACAGGGTGTCCCACGAAAAACTGTAGCAATGGACGTGTTCGTTTTACCGTTGCAAAAATGCGTCATGGCCAACTGAGATTAACTGATCTCCAAAGCTACGTCGATCATTTTTGCCATATACGAGGGCTGTCTTTTAAGTTTTGCATATGGAAATAAAACAACACGGTAGGTAGTTTTAAATGACTTTATTGTTTTTCGAAGTATTCTCCACGAAGATTAATACACATCTGCATGCGCTCGAACCAATTTTCCAAGCAATTATTCCACTAGTTTGCTGGCAGATCCAAAACGGCATTTTTGAATGCGTCAACTTCTGCTTCTATTGTTGTGAAACTTTGAATTTAAGTTTACTAAAGATTGAGGTTAAGATTCAGTACCGACGTTCGATCCGCGCGGCCTACTATGTTTCTATATGCAAAACTTGAAAGACATCCCTCGTAAAACGAATACTTCCAAATGTCACATAAACTGATAATTGCGTAGTGAACAATCACAAAATTGCAATCATCTTAGAGACAATGCTATAAAATGATAAAACTTGGTATTCATATTTTTTTTAATTTAGAAGCAGAGTTCGAATAAACAAACAGTACTGTATCACTTTCCACTGCATGTAAACAATTAATATTGAACCTATAAATTATAATCAATAATTTTTATCGGTAATTTATAAGAAACAATGAACCATGTTTATAAAAATGCATACTATTTTTCATAACAACAACAAGTGTACGACATAGACTTACAGGGTAGTATCAAATTTACTAGTCTCACTTTTACATTAATAAAAGCTAAAAGCTTTTGATTTGTGATATATTTTTTTGTTGTTTCTAGTGCCATGAGATTTTTTTAAACGCATACTCTGTAGATTCTTTCATATTAAGACCAAAATCATTATGGAATAGAATTAAAAACTAAAAGCCAATGAAAAGCCAACACACAAGCACGAGGCTTAGAGCATCTATCTTTAATCTTTATTTTACCAACATTGCAAAAAAGTAGTAGGCCAAAACCCACATCCAGCTTCAACGCGTATGAGCTTCTTGTTATTAAAGAGGTTACTTACAGTCAAGTCAAGACAGAGATAAATAAATAAATATAAAAGCTTTGATGTTTTCGGTTTCAATTCAAAAATTATTACAACCATTTAAAACCTTACCATTATACCATTAAGAAATCATTCAATCATCGTTATTTCAAATGGTATATTTCCTGTTATTTTTAAGTTATCGAAAGTTATACTCCTCTTTAAAAAAGGCGATTCCAACGATCTTTCAAATTATAGACCTATTTTACTTATACTAATACCTGCTAAGACACTTGTGATTCTTTTGATAGATCATCTGATTGACCATTTTGAAAGCAACAACCTATTCACTGACTGTCAATCCATTCGCAGAACAGGTAAGTCTACTTCTGTAGCTATTGACAGCTTCATTGAGAAAATAAATGCAGCTTTTGAAAGTGGTGTTCATTGCTTATCTAATTTTTATGATTTTACTAAGGACTTTGATTGTACACCACATGATATTCGTCTACAAAAATTGTCACATTACAAGTTCCATAGTAATAGCAGTAGGCTCTTGTCATCTTATTTGAGCAATAGACAGCAGCTTGTAGCTTTTAACAACACTACCTCTAGTACAACGACAATTTCATGAAGCATCCCACAGGGTTATGTGCTGGGTCCACTTTTATTCTTAACATACATAAGTGATCTTCCTATTTTCAACACAAACAAAAACCTTATACTCTTGTCGATAACGCAACAAAGCTTGGTAGTAACAAATCGATCGAATACTCTTCTCTGCGAATATTGAATAGGTACATAGTAAATTTAGAAAATTGGTTTGCAGCAAATAAACTTTTAAAATTAGTAAATTCCTAATCCACATCTATACTAAGTGACATATAAATCCGAATACCCAGTTTAAATGGTTTTATTTTAATAAAAGTTGGTGAAAGAATATCTTACTGTAAATAACAAGTGAAAAAATTTTCAGCCTTATCAGTTGGACATTCCGGTTTTTATACTGCTTTTTTTTAATTCACTAACGCTCTAAAAATGAATATTTCAGCCGCAGTAAAGAATCAACGTTGGCGGATTTTGGTTCTTGACATCCTTTACGATCGGTTACGATGCCTAGAGTACGGAGACCTGTACGATTTCGTCAACTTAGTGAGTTTGATAGCGGCCGTATAGTGGGACTTCGGGAAGCTGGACTTTCTTTTCGGGCAATTGCAGTTAGATTGCAAAGAAGTGTAGACACTGTGGTTAGGTGTTGTCAGGCATGGCTTCGAGAAGGCCGTACGCAAAGAGCAAGGGGCACTGGACGCCGCCGTAGAACAACAGACCGTGAAGATCGCCGCCTAAGATTATTGGCCTTAAGGGACCGTTTCTCCACTACCAGGTCCATTGCAAATGAATGGTTTGCAAAACACGGAAGACCTATTGGCATGCGAAGTGTTTACCGACGAATGAGAAGTATTGGCTTGTTTTCATACCGGCCACACTGGGTCCTCCCTTTAACTCGAGAACACCGACGTAATCGCGTTGAGTGGTGCAGACAATGGTCACTCTGGGATCAGGAATGGAACAGTATTGTCTTTAGTGACGAGTCTCGATTTTGTTTAGGCATGCACAATGGTTGTGCCAGGGTTAGAAGGCGACGTGGTGAAAGGAGGAATCCACAGTTTTTTGTTGAAAGACATGTTCATCACACTGTTGGAGTTATGGTTTGGGGTGCTATAGCTTATGGTTCCAGGTCACCTTTAATCTTCATCAGAGGTAACATGAACGCGCAGCGTTATATCCACGAAGTTCTAGAACCCCATCTTTTACCCTATCTTGACACCCTGGCAGATCCAACTTTCCAACAAGATAATGCCCGACCACATGTTGCAAGAGTCACAATAGACTTCTTTCAACATAATGATGTCACATTGTTACCATGGCCACCAAGATCTCCCGACTTATCCCCAATTGAGCACTTGTGGGATATGATGGGTAGGAGATTGCTCAATTTGCAACGTCCTCCTCAGACTCTAGAAGCACTTCGAGAGGGGTTGGTGGTTGCCTGGAATGAGATACCACAGGAGGACATTGACCACCTGATCAGAAGCATGCCTAGGCGCGTTGGAGAATGCGTAGCACATCAGGGTGCATCCACACATTATTAAAGGTCAAAGGGCTTTAAAGCAGTGCAATCATTTTGAAATTTTTATCATTTACTTATTATGCTTCATTAAGTACTTATACAAAATTTCATTAAAATAAAACCGTTTAAACTGGGTGTTCGGATTTATATGTCACTTAGTATACTATACCACCAGAATTGTCAGCCTCTAGCGGTCACAGTGATGACTGGGCTATCAAACGCGAACTGAAACCTTCACATTTCTGATAATAGATGGCGTTCTGTGCTGTATTATTGATGAATTTCCACTGGACACCCTGTTAAGTATCTGTAGACTGATATCGGGAAGCTTCTATATAAAAGCCGCTGTTTACTAACAAGAATTATTTTTAAAACAGTGATCTCGACTAAATAAACATGAGTAAGGAAGAGTCTGGTTTAGCTCATATCGATGTGGAAAAAGGACTTTCTCCTATCGATCTAGTCGAAGAATGGATGAAAGAATACCAGGAGTACTCACATACAAATAAGGTACTGCTGAACCTTGCTACAGCTTCTAGGTAAGTTTTTTATCAGTGTACTATCGTCACAAAAATTCATTCTACCCATTTCAACTATTCTCTTTCATCTGTAGATTTGCCTGCTACCTCAGTGACCTCTACTATTGAAAGGTACGGGGAAAAAGATGAATGTCATTAAAATTAACTTTTGAGAAAAGTAAATTAGAAAGTTTGAAGACTCCTAGACTCGTTGTACAGGGTGGATCAAAGATCTGACGGGGTACCATAGATTACTTATTAGAAGAAATTAGAAAAAGTTAAATTATAATTAAAAAATATTTTTTGATGTTCATGGTTGACCAAAAGTGAAAGCAGACCAAACATTTTTTAATGGAAAATCGTTTTTATTTTGGCATTTTGAGATTTATCTTATGGTTTTACAAATATTTCTTATGTGTTGGCGTCCATGCCTGGACTTTTTTTGAGATATTGAGATTAGAAATGAGCCTTTCGTCACATGCGACACCCTGTAAAACCTAAGGGTTGATTAACCAGCAAAATGTCTATCTTACGTTTTAAGATCTGTTTTGAGAACTACCTTACATAGGGCGTAGAACTTAAGAAAAAGGTGAGTTTCATCAATAGCTTAAACGCAGAATTATTTCTAAATATGTTTTAATTGGGACAGGAAAGGAACAATGAACCAGAAAAAGCTATATTCAAAAGGATATAGAACAAACTGAACAAAATTAATGGTAACTGCTTAAAAATGGTTACTTAACGTTTATTTCTTTCGTCGCAGATTGGTTTATGGTAAATGGTTGTAGTAGTACTAGTTCATCTTTTCTTCATACAACGGCTGTGACATTAATCTTTTTCCCCTGTACCCTTCAGTTACTGTAATATCTTAAACTTATCCTGTACTCTTCACGTTGATCGAACTCCATGTTTTTCTGGCCGATTGTAACCAAATATGTTAGAATTACTCTCGCTCTTATTGATATTTCGACCATCACTTTGAGAAAGTCCTCTGTGGTGACCGAAATATCAGCAAAAGTATTTACTACATATAGGATGTCCCAAAAGTATAGACACACCCAAATGTCTCAGAATCGAAGGTCGCTAGAAAAGAACAAATACAAAAGCTTTAGGAAAACAAATGGCGTATCTGTTGGGTTTGACGTTGACATGCACCTTGAAGGTCGTTTCAAGGGCAAGTTGTTTTTTTAAAATAGGAATTCACATTTTTTCCAACGGTATGAATATCATATTGGTTGATATTACATATAGAGGTTATTTCAAGGTCAATTATTGATTTTTCATGGAATGCTGTGAAACAGTGGGTAGCTGGAAAGAAGAACTTTCAATGCGAAACTTGCAGGACTCCCAACGTCACATCAGTCACTCTGACCTTGGATGTGACCTTGAAAGTGCAAATTGATTTTTCCACATGGAACCACTTGATTTTGAACAATTAGTCCAATATCTCCATTTCCACTTACAAAGATTATCGGTCGCTCCAGCCTATCCACGAAAATAGGTCATTGACCTTGAAATAACCTCTAGGTGTGATTTTACCTGCGTTAATTAAATCTTTGAACATGGGGTTTTTCTCCGTTTTGGATAAAGAAGGATATTAAAGAAGAACTTACAATGCGAAAATTTCAGGACACCCAACGGCACATCTGAGGTGACCTTCAGTCTGATCTTGGATGTGTCCTTAAAGATTAATTCAAGTGCAAATTGATTTTTCCACATGGAACTACTCAATTTGGAATAATCGATACAAGATCTCTCTTTTCACTTGCAATTATTATCGATCGCTCCAGTCCAGTCTACGAAAATAGGCCATTTGACCTTGAAATAACCTCTAGGTGTGCTTTTACCTCCGTCAATTAAATCTTTGATCATGGGATTTTCAGCGCTGGGATCTTGAGGGCTTCCACGTGGAAAATCAATTTGACCTTGAATTGACCTTCAAGGTCATAGTCAAGGTCAGAATGCAGGTGCCGTTGGATGTCGCGCGATTTTCGCATCAGACATTCTTCTTTAATGATATTTTTCCAACTATCCATGTAGAAGCATTGCTTTTTATTCCTAACAAAAAAAAATGAGAGATCCGATTAAAAAAATCAACTTACCTTTGAAATGGCCTCTAAGGTGAATGCTGTCAAATCTAAGGTCACCCCATATGATTTCTGGCATCCGTAGTTTCTGAGCTATTTGGACGTGTTCACGCTTTTGAGAGATGCTGGTAGATGTCTCAGGGCGCTTACTACACTTTCACGAACTTTCTTAATATTTTCCGGACCACGAACAATTCGAACACGGCCCGACCTTGGCAAATCTTTAACTTCACCTGTTTGGTGTTGATACTGGGCACATTATTGCGACCGAAATCCTGTCGTAGCTTCCGAATCGTTGCAACAACCGACTCATTATTTCGGAAAAACGTTTTAACGGTACGGACGCGTTGTGGGATTCTGTAGCCACTCCATTATGAATTGGACACATGTGCTTTAAACAACTACTACAGCGCCACCTACTGAAATGCGTGTAACAAACATGTCACGCAATTTAAATCAGTCAGTTATATATTGGCCACCCTGCATTTTCTGTAGCTTAAGATACTTTTGTGTTACCGGGATGAAAAATGGAAATCACTGGTTTCCAAGGATGAATAACAATGTTCAAGGTTAAATAATCTCTTATTGCCTCTTCTAACTTCCAGGGAAGGTGAGGTTTCAAACCGAAACGTTGTTCTGCGTGAACTAAGCGACGATGGTTTCACATTTTTGACAGTGAAAAATGGCAAAAAGGTCCAACATATGGTGAGTAAAATGCTCGAATCCACTCTGTTGAAGTCTTCAATATTTGTCGAAAAGTGAGGTTAATGAATGTTGCTTCTTTACAGACGGAAAATCCAAATGTGTCCGCGTGTATTTACTTCAGCTATATCAAAGACGGAAAGCACGTTGAGAGACAGGTAAGTGACAGTTTTGTCACTCTAGCGCAAACTTGTAAGGTTGACGTGCAAACCAATGAACATACGGTGTATCAAATTCAAACCGAAATTTTTGGAAAACTCGTTTTTTCCGTCTCACTCCGGAAATATTTTTAATTTCAAAACTTCAGCATCTTGTTACCTAAGTACGCAACTTTGGTCAGGGTTGAACTTGACATACCCAATATACTTAGAAAATCATTATTACTAGGTGGTCTTTTTTCTGTATATGTATATGAAATACGACTTGATTCAAGGTGCGAGTTGAAGGGGTTGCAGAAAAACTGAACAAAGAAAAGTGCAAGGACTACTATGAAAGAGAACCGGTTTATGCCAAAATACGGAGCATAATTTGTGATCAAGGTGAAAAGATAGAATGGGACGATTTAAAGAAGAAACATGACGAAATACTACGGAAATACAAAGAAGGAGCAGTTGGACTAGAAATGCCCGAGCATGTGTAAGTAAACGAAAATAGCTCTATCAGTTAAATTTTCCCGAGAAAGCGGATCTACAGTTATTGTGCCGTCACTCCTGTAATATGTCATCATTGAGATATAGTCGAAATCACGAAAGATGACGATTACGTCATCATTTTAGTCTGCAGTACAGTATATTCAGATAAGAGATAGACCGGATGTAAACAAAAGGTTCGGGTGATTTTCACGCTAACGCCGCCGTCTCGACGTAAAACAGGAGCCCTCATTGGTCAATTCGCAATTAAATGCCTATGCTGAGCGGCAGAGCAGTCGTATCAAGGCAGAGTCACATTCAGGTTCAGACGTGTTACGTATGTCGTGTGCATCATTGCAATTTGATATTTCTTTGGACGTTTTCGTTTGTTATCTTATTAAGTTGTTGAGTTTGTCGTTGTTATTGTTATACCTTGTTATTGATTGTTATTGTTATCAACTGCTTGCGCAAAATGCCCAGTAGTACAGATACTGCCGATGAAGTTGTAAACTCCTGTAGTCCACCCCAATTATAGCAATCTGATACTCATGTCTCAATGTTTTTTCGCTGAATATGATGAAAACATTTGAAAAAGGTTCGCTTATTGAAATAAATCTACACCAGTTAGTACTTCGATTTCCAGGTAAAGGGAAAAGGCTCATTATCTGCCATATTGGCAGTGAGGATGGATTTGTTGTTGACGGTCTGTGGTGCTTTGAGTCTAAGAAAACTGGAGATTACCACGAGGAAATGAATGGCGATTCGTTTGAACAGTGGTTTTCAAAAATTTTACCGAACTTAGAGGAAAACGCAGTAATTGTGTTGGATAATGCGCCTTATCTTTCTCGAAGAATGGAGAAGGTCCCAACAACGGCTTCAAGGAAAGTTGATGTTCAAAATTGGCTCCGCTCGAAAAATATCAACTTTGAAGAAGCAATGCTGAAAGTACAATTATTAAGAATTGTCAAGGATCACAAGGCGGAATATCAAAAATACGCCATTGACGAAATGGCAGCAAGTCAAAATAAAACTGTGCTCTGTTTACCTCCATACCATTGCGAGCTCAATCCCATTGAGCTCATATGGGCAGAGGTTAAAAATTATATAGCTAAGTACAATACAACTTTTAAATTTTGTGACCTCAAAGGACTTTTCAAAGAAGCACTAGAATTAATAACAGCGCAAAAATGGGGAAACTGTATTAAGCACGTGAAAGACAAAGTTGAAAAGAGAATGTGGGAACTGGGCAATATTTTAGAGGAACAAGTCGAGCCATTCATTATTGACGTTGGTGCTTCAGGCAGTAGCGATGATGAAAGCTCATCAAGCTCATCTTTCCAATAAAAGATGTCGTGCATCAAATTCGGTAAGTTATAAGTAATTATAAAGCTACTGTATTTTTTAATTAATTATCGACATTTTTGAACCCATTTTGGCAAAACCTATTCAAGAATCTACTTTCTGACAATGTTCAACTATGCACATTTTTTTACGTTTTGAACGTTTTAATTTGGTTACATATTTACCTAGAAATCAAAATATATACTAATCAATATTCTAAAAGCAATTTTAAGAGATATACGATTATTTTTAATTTAGGCTAATTTAAACGCCATTTTGAGATTATATTCGACTGTATTTCACCAAACATCAGGCGGCATCCGAAGCTGGAAATCGAAGCGAAAATTTTGAAACCCTTATGTATATTTACATCATTATATATTTCTTACCCCACCCCCACATGATCCTATATCCATCACCAATCGTATACACATCGAATTGTGCTAATTTACTACAAAGTTACGCAAAGCAGCATCTACTATCTAAAATATGTACTGCGTGACTCTTAATACGTCCCTGCCGAATGTTACAGCGTTCGATGATCACGTGGTCTTGTTTATGTCCGGTCTATCTCTTATCTGAATATACTGTAAAGACAAACGACAGCTACTTGTGAATATATTTAATGAAGTTTCTTTTATGTTAGACAGGGACAAACAGAATTTTATTGTCTAAACAAACTGCATTCCTAATTTGCACGTATCCGACAAAGATAGACGATGTTTTCATGTTGCATGATCGATCATACTTGAAAGATGAATAGTTAGGTTATGTTAAAGCAGGTTATGTTGTTTTCGAATACTACTTTCGTCTTTGGTGTTCCTGTGTTGAGGTATTCTACTCATAACTGTTTTTTTCAAAATAAAAACTCGCCACTAAAATTATTATTAAGGTAATCACTCAAAACCATGAAATAAAATGAAAATAAAAATAATCAGTGAAATAACCTAACTTCGCAAGATCATAATATAAATTTGTTGTCATTATGTTCCTGAAATCGTGATTTTATCATCATTACTTCAGTACTATTTTGACTATAGGTAAGGGGTAAACATTATATGTATAAGACTGAGTCAGAGAAACTTTATCTATGAATATAAATTGTATCACAAATTGAAATATGAACAGTTTTTCATTTTTTAACCTAGTCACCAAGCATTTGTCACGTACGTTAAACCAGTCAGTAACTGTTACTTCCAACATTCTCATTATTACAAGGGACGTCAGTAATATCGAGATCTGACTGAGATCACTGCTAGTTGAAATACCATTGCAGCAACACTTCTTTCGTGATTTTTTGACATTTTATCGCATATTTTCTATAAACAGTATTTTGTGTATTTTTCTAAACAAAGTGAATATGTTCATAGCTATAAGTGTTGTATTTTTTGTTTTAGGGTTGCCTACTTAATTCGCCCACAAAAATTGGATCTGTACTACGCTTATGACAACTTCATCGCTGACAGAATCGTATTTTTCAAAGACAAAAATGCGGAATGGAAACTCGAAAGAGTAGCAACATAACACCTCAATTCTTCAGTAATACCTAACATGTAACTTCTATCCCCTTATACACAAAATTGTTGAATTGAAATATAATCTTTTTTACTCTTTTATATCGGGCCTTTTTTAAACCTCCAGTACTCCAATAGTAAAAACCAATTTTTCTACATATTTATAAGGCATTTCTGTGTAATTTTTGAAATATGTCCATTTTCTTTTATTTCTTGAATGAATGATATCCAGGCCCAGTCATGCGAGTTTTTGTCTGACAAGTTTGAAAAATAGTTTTGGTTGTGAAGAAAAGGAAAAAAAAGTAAAAAAATGTTTTCCGGTACCGGGAATCGAACCCGAGCCTCCTGGGTGAAAGCCAGGTATCCTAGCCACTAGACCATACCGGATTATATTAGAAGCGTTACAAACACCGTACGTTAGTGACAAGTTGAATAATACTTTAAGTATAATGAAAATTGACAAATCTCCTATTTTTTTGCTATAAAATTAATAAAACATGAAATTAGGTTACGTGTATGTTGTCAGCTGCTGTAGTAAGCATTTTCACATTTCATCAAAAGTAGATGGTCGCGACATCTATTATTACGTTGTACATTCATAATATCCTTACCCACCATGTCGTACACTTTCCCCAAATAATTTTAGTAAAATATTTTGCTGTAGTACGTTCTCCGACTAGTAGATGTCAGGGTTTTTCTTTGGGACGACATCTATCTGTGTACTAGCGTAGCTTTTGATACGTTTTCACAGTGAGTTGCATCAGTGGACTATCTTGACAGAGAAGTTTGACATAATTTCACATAAATGGTATATATTCTGTGAAGTCAAGTAGTATGTAGTTTTCATCTCTGATAAGAAATTATTTGTTGAATAGCAAGATCGCATCTAGATGTTTATATGTATTGGTCTGCATGTGTATAAAATCAGTGATATTTGCTGTGTAAGAAAATCATTACTGAATATGTCCGACGGGTTATATACAGGGTGGCCCATCCATGTGTGGATGGAATATTACTCATAAACAAATACATTTTGTGAAAATTTATTTACGGTATGTTATACATGACATTTGAGGGCACATTTCCAAAATATTGGCAATTATTCAGTTTTGACCTGCTTATCAAAGTTATGATTTTTTAAACGAAATGCCTCAAATTTTATTGCGTATTTGGATAAACCAATACAAAAGATTGATATGACATAGTATGGGGTTTTGGTAATTAGCTACTTAGATGTAAGGTGTTTTGTCCAGAAAAACCGTCACTTCGGTAACCCCTCAATCCGACATTTTGAAATTTGGAGTGCTGAAAAAACTTACACACCTCAGCTTGTATCTTATTTGTTACTTTTCCGAATTTTCACTTTTGCTCATACAGGGTGGTCAAAAACGCGAATTGTTATTTTTCTCAAAAATTTCAAATGCATCACCCTGTATATTTGTGCAAGTTTGGAGTCAATTTCTTATAAGCTTTTTTTTGGTACCAGGTTTGATTCAGATAAAATCACTATATTTTGAGTCATTAACCTTTTAATATACTAAGTGACATATAAATCCGAACACCCAGTTTAAATGGTTTTATTTTAATAAAATTTTGTATAAGTACTTAATGAAGCATAATAAGTAAATGATAAAAATTTCAAAATGATTGCACTGCTTTAAAGCCCTTTGACCTTTAATAATGTGTGGATGCACCCTGATGTGCTATGCATTCTCCAACGCGCCTAGGCATGCTTCTGATCAGGTGGTCAATGTCCTCCTGTCGTATCTCATTCCAGGCAACCACCAACTCCTCTCGAAGTGCTTCTAGAGTCTGAGGAGGACGTTGCAAATTCAGCAATCTCCTACCCATCATATCCCACACGTGCTCAATTGGGGGTAAGTCGGGAGATCTTGGTGGCCATGGTAACAATGTGACATCATTATGTTGAAAGAAGTCTATTGTGACTCTTGCAACATGTGGTCGGGCATTATCTTGTTGGAAAGTTGGATCTGCCAGGGTGTCAAGATAGGGTAAAAGATGGGGTTCTAGAACTTCGTGGATATAACGCTGCGCGTTCATGTTACCTCTGATGAAGATTAAAGGTGACCTGGAACCATAAGCTATAGCACCCCAAACCATAAGTCCAACAGTGTGATGAACATTTCTTTCAACAAAAAACTGTGGATTCCTCCTTTCACCACGTCGCTTTCTAACCCTGGCACGACCATCGTGCATGCCTAAACAAAATCGAGACTCGTCACTAAAGACCACACTGTTCCATTCCTGATCCCAGAGTGACCGTTGTCTGCACCACTCAAGGCGATTACGTCGGTGTTCTCGAGTTAAAGGGAGGACCCAGTGTGGCCGGTATGAAAACAAGCCAAAACTTTTCATTCGTCGGTAAACACTTCGCATGCCAATAGGTCTTCCGTGTTCTGCAAACCATTCATTTGCAGTGGACCTGGTAGTGGAGAAACGGTCCCTTAAGGCCAATAATCTTAGGCGGCGATCTTTACGGTCTGTTGTTCTACGGCGGCGTCCAGTGCCCCTTGCTCTTTGCGTACGGCCTTGTCGAAGCCATGCCTGACAACATCTAATCACAGTGTCTACACTTCTTTGCACTCTAACTGCAATTGCCCGAAAAGAAAGTCCAGCTTCCCGAAGTCCCACTATACAAACTCACTAAGTTGACGAAATCGTACAGGTTTCCGTAAAGGATGTCAAGAACCAAAATCCGCCAACGTTGATTCTTTACTGCGGCTGAAATATTCATTTTTAGAGCGTTAGTGAATTAAAAAAAAGCAGTATAAAAACCGGAATGTCCAACTGATAAGGCTGAACATTTTTTCACTTGTTATTTACAGTAAGATAAATACATTCACCAACTTTTATTAAAATAAAACCATTTAAACTGTGTGTTCGGATTTATATGTCACTTAGTATAGAACAACACACCCAAATTAAGGAAAAAAATCATATCATCCATGGAAACAAAAGACAAACAGTGGGCTAGTTCCATATTGCCACTTAGAGTACAGATTTGACGTAAAAACTAATAACAATCAGAACAGTATAAATCAGCTTCAAGCGTACTAGAGAGAAACAACTATAATAACAACATAAACGAACAACTATCACTATTCAAGACCTAATCTACAAAAACTGCTCTAAAATATCTCCACCATGTTGATTACACAGCCGTAGTCTTTGGATAAATTGCTGATGCTTCACTAGTATCGAAAATAATTATCGAAAATTGGGTCGCGAATGGTGAAAGGTTGAGAAACGATGCTATACAGCATGATGGATATACAAAGTACATTTGGAAAGTACCTCACTGACTAATATCTATAAATGAATCGCCGGTTACTACTTAACACTTATTTAAATGATATTTCCATTTTATAATGTATGACGAATACTTGTTATCAGTATGTATACGTATTTTTTGAATGAGTGCGATAAATCATCTGGAACCTACATGCTTATCATTTTCCCACGGTTTGTTGAAAATAATACGTCGACTATGCATCACTGCAAACATTTCCTTGCAAAACAAAATATGTATACTTTTTTGATGTTGTGAGAACATCGAATGTAAATGAGATAAGTATCGCGCGTAGTACAAAGAAATTGAAACGATGCTACTTTTCGCAGTTATAGGAACTAGGGTGTTTTCTTTTGAAAATCTAAAGTGTAACGGAACATCTTATTTTTGGACCACCCTGTACTGTACGGCTATAGATAGAAGGACGTCCCCCTAGAAATCAAAATTGACGTGTCGGAGCGGTTTTCCCAAAATATTCCAGGACACAAATGGGGGTGCGACCTACACAGGGTGTTACTTAATGATATGCGAATATTTAAGGGTGTGAATATATATGAAAAATTAATGTTAGTTTGATTTATAAACTGTGGTCCAAAAATGATTCCTTATAAAAACTCGGGGTGTTCAAGTTTTAGGAACAAAACCGGAAAGTAATTAACAATTTCAGAACCGCTTCAGATATTTCACTGATCTTTAGCACGTAGTGGAAGTTAATAAAGTTGCTTATTTTTCAATGCAAAAATAATTTTTAGCTTTAACAATGGCGTGCGTACGGATATTGACTTCGATATTTTTTAAGAAAAAAATGATACGCCAATGTTTTTTTGTCAAATAAAAATTATTTTTGAATTCCCCGTTCAATTCAAAACAAAAGATCTCTTAAGAGTTGTTTTTCTTTGATGCGCCATTTTTGAGTAAAAAAATAAAAACCGTTCTATTGTCTAACGTGCAAAATTATTGTTAATTTAACTGGACAAATTAAACACATTAGGGGTACTTCTGTCTCTCACAAAACATTGACTCATACTGTTGTACGTTGCAGCACAAATTACTTTTGCAAGTAGTCGTGATTCTACGTTGTGGAATGAGATAAGAAAGAAAAGCGGAGAATTTTATTAGTGATTGCTTGACTATTTCATTTGTTATGCTGTAAGTTCGGGTCGGTTTTGTCAAACATTGTTAAATAAATCACTAGCAAGCAATCATTATTTCAAACGAGCTTGCGGGCGTTCGCCTGAAAATCGTTTTTGTCCCGAGTTACTTGATCAAAAATGAAGCGATTTACAGGATCCATAGCATTCTAGATCCAAAAATAAAAATTGAAATAAAAATGACTTTATTTGTCAAATATTGACAAGTGAGGCGTTGTTGATTTCAGAATGTCATTCTCGATCCAAATTTGTAAAGATATATAGTGTGTCCCGTTTAAAAATCGAAAGCTGGAGTCGTTTCCGGTCAAACCGGAAGTACGTAAAAGTAAGTGAATATGTCGAAACATGTAAATTCTTATACAGGGTGCGGCAGGGAGGATGGACGGATTTAAAAATATCATAAAATAGTTAATTTTTACTCGAAAACAAATTTATTGATGGAATCAGGTTCACAAGGAAATATCATTTGAGACAGTCAAGTGTGGAAAATCACATCAGGCATGTGGTAGCCGAATTAGTTGATGCAGTGCTGGAGGCGTTCTTGGAAGTTCGCGTAGACTCTCTCCAACATCGCTCTCTCAACTTGGGCGACTTCCACGCGAATTTCGCACTTCAATTCGTCCAGAGTTCGGGGCTTGTTCGCGTATACTCTAGCCTTGAGGTGTCCCCACAAGAAAAAATCGCATATGGATAAATCTGGGGACCGAGGAGGCCAACGAACATCACCAAACCTGGAAATAGGCGACCAGGTGAATAACGTCCATGGATGCTCGGGCTGTGTGGACGGTCGCCCCATCCTGCTGGAACCACACACGTCGGATTGGAACACGTCGCCGTCGTAATTCAAAAACGACCGTCCTCTCTGCCGCACCCTGTATAATACGCAACCAAATTTCGTTTTCCTACCTTCAATAATAAAAAAGTGATAGTGATGAGCCCGTTGGAGAATCATCTGGTAAGATTCACAAATAATTCCCCATCAGTCTTAACATTCTCTTTTGCAACACAAATATCCGATTTGTTACACGAGAAGTACCTCAGGCAATTATACCATATGAGATTATTGACTGAAAGTACGCAAAATAATATACAGAGGCCTGTTTTTTACAAACTAAGTGCACTTTGATTGGAAATAAACTCCTAAGAATTTCACTGTACTGCATTGCCTGAGATCTCACTAAGAGACTATAATCCTGGTCAGAGGTATATGCAAAGGATAATAATAATAATAATAATAATAATAATAATAATAATAATAATAATATAATATTTATTTCCAACAGGTATACACCCAATCACAGGAAATCAAAACAAAATGGTACCATATATACACATGTATACACATATATATACACATACATATATACACATACATATATATATAGACAATGAATCAGAAAATAATAACAAAAAAAAGAAAATAGAAAAACATTAGTGATCTGAATGAACACATAATACACAGGTGTTTGAATAATGAAACACTTCCACAAAAAAAGAGAAGAAAAAAAAACATAAAAGTGCTCCAATTGAAGAATAACAATAACTGACACCATCAACAAAACGATTTTATCTCAATTGCTCCCTGTAAATGTTTAATATTTTATTAAGACTGTCATGACATACATCAGCTCTGTTACAGATTGAATTGAATAAGGTATACTTTATCTGAAGTCACTTGAAACACTGTGAAATACCGGGTGCGTTTTATATATCTATATTTAACACGCTCTGTTGCTGCAAAAATCGCCAAATTTCGCAGCAAATATCCCCCGTATAAGATCAAAGGCAGTTTCACCGGTCCACGTGGAGTCAAGCACGCCTATGCGTGGACATAGCCAATGAGAAAGCGTGTATTTCAGAGCTCCGAACAAGTGCAGGTGGCTACTGAAAATTGAAACAGTTTTGAAAGTGCCGTTTAGCGGTGAATTGAATAAACGTGTTTTCTTTAGTCTGTCCGTGTTTTTTCATAGATTTTATTAGTTTGTGTGTTTTTGACTTTTGAATACTGAGTTTACTTGTTGATTTAATTGTTGTGTTGATTGTTCTTGTGTGTCCTAAATATGGCTCTTTGGAGACCTTGGGAAAATGCTCCAAGCCACGAGGAGATGGTTGATGAACCTGCGCAGGCAGAATTCTTTCATAAAGATTTAGAGGAACAGACCAAAGAGTAATCCTAAATATGTATGATTGTCTGAAAAACGAAAATCCAGATTCATCGCTAAATCAAATTTTAAACAGAATTTGTATCCTGAGAAAAATCAGTCAGTCTACCATTTATCGGGTTATAAAAAGGGGAAATGTAGTCAACCATTCCTTCCACAGAAAGTGCATAGGGCAAACATTAAAAAGAATAGACGTGGGTTTTCAGGAAGATATTCGTCGTATAATATACGGATTTTATAAAGAAAATTTGGTGCCCACGTTGGAAATGATACGGGATAAATTAAAAGATTATCCTGAAGATTTTTATAATTACAAATGCTTAGACTCACTGCACTGTATTGTATTGTGTGGTTTTCAATACAAAAAATTAGATAAAAGAATGGTGATTATGGAGTCGTCTCGAATCGTTGAATTGCGCCAAGAATTTTTGCACAAAGTTAAAATCTATAGAGAGTAGAAAAGAAATCTGATTCACCTGGATGAAACGTGGTATGATACCCATGATGTTGTGCAGTACGGCTGGGTTTGTCAACAGCAACAAGTGCATTTTAAATGCACCATGCAACCGTGGAAAACGAATCATTATTCTCCATGCTGGCAGTGAAAATGGATTTATACCTAATGCCTTGCTGTTATCTGCCAAAAATATCAAAGAATCATGTGCCAACTATCATGAGGACATGACCTCCGACTTATTTGAAAAGTGGATAGAGCAGCAGTTAATACCAAACATTTCCCCAAATTCAGTGATTATTATGGACAATGCGCCATACCATTCCCGACAGAAAAACAAAATTCCGAATACAGGCACAAAAAAACAAGACATTATTGATTTTATGAAGGATAAGGGAATGGAAATACCACAAAAATCAACCTAAGCCATATTATTGGATCTTATTAAAAGACAAAAATTTGAAAAAGAGTATGTTGTTGACAATCTGCTTCAGCAAAATGGCCATGAAGTATTACGTCTACCTCCCTATTACTGCATTTTTAACCCGATTGAGTTGGTCTGGGCTGCTTTAAAAAAAAAGTAAGAAAACATAATCAGACCCCTCAATTAAGTGAATCGCTATTGGTCACAATAAGAGATGCAGTATCTCATATTGCTGCCACAGACCTATGGAAGCAGTGTTCTAGGCATATTATTGAAAAAGAAAATGAATATTGTGTTTTGCCTCCTGTAAATCCCGTTGTAATTCCTCTACAAGATGACTCTACCGACAGCTCGGAAGGCGAGGATGATATATAAATACCTATAATGTAAGTCTTTATATACCTTTTTATATACCTACCTGCTTTGTAAATATTTGCCTATGTCAAACGTTGGAATTCTGTAATTTTTCCATTTCTTAACTTTCAGTCAACATAAATTAAACTCCCAATATAAGTATTTTTTATCCCAAATCAAAAAAATAAGAAGATAGTAAAATCCATTTATTGTGATATAAAAACATTATTATTATCGTTCTAAATAAATGACAGCACGCCTATGATACGTCATGAAATTACAAAGGACGCGCCGACCAAAGGTTTTTATGCTATTTCAAGTGACTCCAGATAAAGTATACACATTACCATTACTGGGGATCTGCATAAAATATTCGTCCGTGGTGTATCACAGTAAAATATGTGATTATGCCGACCAACTAGGGGATACTCAAACTGACTACAGACGTATGGTAGTACCCGGACTCCTGCATCGTTAGTAGCATTTTTGGTAAAAGACTTAAAGCTGACTTATAGCAAATCAAGTAGTTATATCTTAATCTCTCATCAAACTGTAAGGTGACAAATTTCAAGGTAGAAAAACCGACATGTACAGGGTGCGTCATCTATTACTTTTTTCTATTTGAAAAATCAACACGCTTTTTACGAGGTGAAATCGAATTCTTTTATTGATAAATAAAGCTTGGCTTATGCCATTTATGTATCAAAAATAACATGAGTCATGTGACCACCGCGTCTTCGTTTACAGGTCAACATCCGAACATCAAAATTTTCAATGACTTTTCCCAAAATAATCGGGTCTATGGCCGCAATTTCACTCCGAATGTTGCGCTTTAGGTCTTGAATTGTCCGGGGACCATTCGCATACACTTTTGCTTTCAAAAATCCCCAAAGAAAACAGTCAAGAGGTGTTAGATCGTACGATCTAGGGGGCTAACTGACATCTGAATTTCGTGAAATTATGCGGACTTGAAATTTCGCGTGCAATAAGACGATTGTTTGGCGAGATGTGTGAACCAAAGATCGTCGGTACCAAAATGATCCAATTGTGGCCACAAAAAGTCTGTTAACATGCCGCGATAACGTTCCCTGTTGACGGTAATGGTCTGTTTTTCGGCATCTTCAAAGGAGAATGGTCCAACGATGCCACCAGCCCATAATCCGCAACAAACAGTCACTTTTTCAGGATGGAGAGGTTGTTCATGATATTGGTGTGGATTTTTAGCCCCCCAGAGTCTGCAATTTTGCTTATTTACGTACCCATTGAGGTGAAAATGAGCCTCATCAGATAAGAGCACTTTGGCCGAAAATTCGTCTTCTCTTTCCAGCATCTAATTAACAAAAACACGCCGCTGTTGATAGTCTGCCAGCTCCAATTCTTGTGTTAGTTGTATTTTTTATATTTCGACCGTTTTCGTAATAAGTTTCAATAACCAAAATGCGTTGTTGTGTTTTAAACGAATCCATGACCAGCTGATCTAGCTTAATTTAATATGTCATCTGCATTTACCAGGATGAACGTATCAAACTAACTGCTAGGGAATTCGGTTAAGTAGCTTTCAAATAGTTGAAGCAGAAGTTCCCTGATACCATATAAAGTGAGCTTGTGTAATAGTAATTTATTATCAACAATATCGAAAGCTTTGCTCAATAAACATGCCTACAGTTTCTCTACCCTCATCTATAGCAGCATAAACTATACTAAGTGACATATAAATCCGAACACCCAGTTTAAATGGTTTTATTTTAATAAAAGTTGGTGAATGTATTTATCTTACTGTAAATAACAAGTGAAAAAATTTTCAGCCTTATCAGTTGGACATTCCGGTTTTTATGCTGCCTTTTTTAATTCACTAACGCTCTAAAAATGAATATTTCAGCCGCAGTAAAGAATCAACGTTGGCGGATTTTGGTTCTTGACATCCTTTACGATCGGTTACGATGCCTAGAGTACGGAGACCTGTACGATTTCGTCAACTTAGTGAGTTTGATACGGGCCGTATAGTGGGACTTCGGGAAGCTGGACTTTCTTTTCGGGCAATTGCAGTTAGAGTGCAAAGAAATGTAGACACTGTGGTTAGGTGTTGTCAGGCATGGCTTCGAGAAGGCCGTACGCAAAGAGCAAGGGGCACTGGACGCCGCCGTAGAACAACAGACCGTGAAGATCGCCGCCTAAGATTATTGGCCTTAAGGGACCGTTTCTCCACTACCAGGACCATTGCAAATGAATGGTTTGCAGAACACGGAAGACCTATTGGCATGCGAAGTGTTTACCGACGAATGAGAAGTTTTGGCTTGTTTTCATACCGGCCACACTGGGTCCTCCCTTTAACTCGAGAACACCGACGTAATCGCCTTGGGTGGTGCAGACAACGGTCACTCTGGGATCAGGAATGGAACAGTATTGTCTTTAGTGACGAGTCTCGATTTTGTTTAGGCATGCACGATGGTCGTGCCAGGGTTAGAAGGCGACGTGGTGAAAGGAGGAATCCACAGTTTTTTGTTGAAAGACATGTTCATCACACTGTTGGAGTTATGGTTTGGGGTGCTATAGCTTATGGTTCCAGGTCACCTTTAATCTTCATCAGAGGTAACATGAACGCGCAGCGTTATATCCACGAAGTTCTAGAACCCCATCTTTTACCCTATCTTGACACCCTGGCAGATCCAACTTTCCAACAAGATAATGCCCGACCACATGTTGCAAGAGTCACAATAGACTTCTTTCAACATAATGATGTCACATTGTTACCATGGCCACCAAGATCTCCCGACTTATCCCCAATTGAGCACGTGTGGGATATGATGGGTAGGAGATTGCTCAATTTGCAACGTCCTCCTCAGACTCTAGAAGCACTTCGAGAGGAGTTGGTGGTTGCCTGGAATGAGATACATCAGGGTGCATCCACACATTATTAAAGGCCAAAGGGCTTTAAAGCAGTGCAATCATTTTGAAATTTTTATCATTTACATATTATGCTTCATTAAGTACTTATACAAAATTGTATTAAAATAAAACCATTTCGGTGTTCGGATTTATATGTCACTTAGTATATGTTGAGAAATGTGGAAAATGTAGAAAACCAAATTGATGATTACCAAAAAAATTATTTTTCACAAGGTACTCCACAATACAGATTGCTGTTTTTGAACTATTTTTGCAAACGGGCTCACCAGTGAGATTTGTCTATAATTTTGATATTATCACGATGTTAGCGACTTTGACAGGGGTAGAATCATTGCCTGTAGAGATGTTGGGTTTGCCCTATCGCGAAATTGGCCGCCGTGCCAATGACGGTAATGCATGTGTGTCGTGTGCGGATAGAATGAGGTAGAGGCACACGAGATCGTTTTGCTACTATGCCTATGGACTTTTTTCATACCGTTCACGATTAGTGCTTCCTCTGACTGCGGATCACTGACGTCAACGTTTGAACTGGAGCAGGGAACGGCAAAATTGGGAGAATTCGTGAGCATGTTATCGTTTCGTTCTTGATGTAAGACTACCTCAATGCCAAAAATCAAGTTGAGGAAATTATATTAATGTTACTGAGTTTACATTCTATACTACTACAACTACAGGTTCAGCATCTCAGCAACCTCCAGGACAGCTTATGGCAGACATTGCGTCTCCCAAAGGAACCCAGCATCTCCAAAGCGATAAGCGAGCATTACGTTATAACCATTTGTTTCGGATGTACCAGACAGTAGACGCCACTCTCGTTCACTGCATCAAAAACAGTTATCGCAACATACCTATTGTAATTGGTTTGTCAACAAATTCTTTAAACAAGCACTGGGCTATAGCGCGGCAAACTCCCTTGATCTATACGCCTGTATCGCACTGCGCGGTTGCCAGACGTTAAAATTTTCCTCAAACCGGGAAAAACCCCGCGCAATCATCGCCCCGACTACAATATACACTGGATTGACCTTGAACTCGCACTCATTGTCAAGATAAGAAGCAAAATCAAGCTATCAATGAAACAAAAATGGTCGAGAATCTAATTCGCCGACACCGATAGCCGGTATCGAAAGCGACGTTGTCGTTGGTTATTGAATCCCCATCACCATCAGTCACTTCGCGACCGCTGTTAAACTCGCTCTACCTCTTCGACTTAGAGCGGGAAAATGATGTGTTCGACGGAAAATGGGGACCAGCAGCAGTGTTACCTGGTGCTGGAAAACGGGGCAGTGTTTCCCGGAAAAGCTTTCGGCGCCAGAAAGCCCGTCGACGGCGAAATCGGTGAGTAGCATTGACCGGATGTCGAATCAACACGTGGTGGCGGCGTCTGGGCGCAACGTGCGTTTCATTGTTTTGCGACCCGACGACGTAGATGCGGAAGCGGCGTTGCCGGATCTGCACGGAATCTCCCCAAATTTCAGACAAAACGCCGATTTCACATTCGCAAAATAAAAATACTGACTCGTCACGAGTGAGAAGAATAACAGCTGATTATCTAGTGGTATTTCAAAATTATCCATATCGACAAATGACACATGATGGATCCGAAAACGCCCAGTAAAAAGTGCTGCATTTTGTTTTGGTTTTTTGTTCGCTACAGATTCATCTTGTACCTGCTAACAGCTTTTTTATTTAGAAAAGTTTATTTGCATTAAAAAAAGCGCTTCAAGCAAGTATTAGATTTACGCCAGATTTATAATTGCCAACGTTACAGGTTAATACAAAGATTTCTCTTACTGATCAGCTGTTCACCTCAGTAGTCGTCGAAACGTGATGGATATCCTGAAATAGTGTTTATTCAGAAAGGGATGCAAATTTGAGATTTTTTTAAAGTTCTCTTCAAAGGTTTCGTTTGGATACAAAAATAATCGGAAACGTCAACAAAATACAAAAACAAAAAACTTCGAAAATCTATTGCGGAAAAAGATTAATTACATACTCTGGAAGCTTTTATACGATGGTGGAAAATAATTATCCACATTACAAAAAAGGCTTGCAGATTTTGAAAATGAATCCAATGGCGACAGAGTTCTCTATTTATCGCCGGTGAACATGAACACCCAACCCAAAGCTGAATTTTTGGCTGAGAGTGAGATACGACTTTTGGGCGTTAGTCAAATAAATCTTTTGAAAACTTCACCAAAAAAATCATTTTTGGAAAATTTTTCAGACTTCTTGGTTACTTATCGAGTAAGTCTACTTGTAATGCTTCACGTCTTTCAATAAGCTTAGCTTCCTCCAAGTTCACATTCATTTAAATACTTTTCAAATGGAACAGTAATTTACGCGTATATGGCATATGATTAATCCACTGCCTTATCTTTTATTGTTTTAAAAATTTGAGCTCTCAGCAAAATATTAAAAATATCAGAGTCGATTGAACAAAATGTCATGGAATTACCTGATATCACGAGACAATCTGGCAACGTTGCGAACCACGGTTTTATGGAGTAATCGATCATGCCTTACCAGTGGCGCTTCCCTAAGAGGCTTCTTCAAGGCAAATTGACCGTCTGTTGGCAGGTCAAGATCCAATAGAGTAATTGATAGGGATGCGCGGTTGTTGATAAAAAAAAACGGTCACAGGTTAATCGAACCAAATTTAACCGTTGATACGGTTAACCGAAAAATAACCTTTATTTTTGTCCATCAACAGTTTGAAGTGTAATGTTTTATATAATATTATGAAATAACCGGTTAAAACTGGTTATTGAATTAACCGGTTATTTTTGCCTATCCCTAGTAATCGAGGATAAGGAATACGAGGAATACAATACCAATTAATAAATAATGAGTATTTATTTATTTGTAATAGGTAAAAATCTTTATAAAATTGTCATTTTTGATTGTTTCTTAGCAACGTAGAAACCTCAGCAATAAAAACTATGGGGTTGTCCAAAACGAACGCAGGAAAGTAAACGCATATTAAAACAAGAAAGATTGATATTCAAATCAAGTTGGGTACTTTATTTTGAAGTTTCATTTATACCATTTATGTATGAAAAATAATATCGCTCAAATGTTCACCACGACTGGATTTACAGACGTCCACGCGATGGTCGAAATTTTCAATGACATTTTGCAACATGGTCGGTTCTATGGCATTTATCTCGGCAATGATGTTGTTTTTGAGTTCTTGGAGGGTGGCTGGTTTGTTGACGTAGACTTTGCTTTTCAAATATCCCCATAAAAAGAAGTCCAAGGGAGTCAAATCGCACGATCTTGGTGGCCATGGCACATTTCCTCTGCGCGAAATCACGCGATCACCGAAGAAGGACTGCAATCGATGGATATTGACGTTGGTTGTGTGGCATGTTGCACCGTCTTGTTGGAAATAAACATCGTCCATATCCATTCCTTCAAGTTGCGGCAAAAAATAGTCCTCTATCATCACGTGATATCGCTAAGAATTGACGGTAACGGCGTCACCGGCCGCATTTTCGAAAAAGTAAGGTCCGATGATGCCTTTTGACCAAAATGCACACAACACAGTCACTTTTTGAGGATGCATCGGCTGCTCTTGATACTCACGGGGATTTTCGTTCGCCCAGATGCGGCTGTTTTGCTTGTTTACCGTCCCACTCAAAGTGAAATGCGCTTCGTCGCTGAACATGATTTTTGATGAAAAATTGGCATCAATTTGGCGGTGTTCAAGGATCCAATCTGAGAACGTTCGGCCCGACGCAGCTCTTGCGTCAATTGGATCTTGTAGGCGTGTACGTTCAAATCCTGGAGAATGCGGAGCAAACTGGTTCTCGAAATGCCCAATTCTTGGGATCGACGCGTTGTTGATTGTTTCGGATCGTGTCTCACACTCTCCTTCGCAGCAGCAATATTTTCCGGTGTGCGAACGCTCCTTGGCCGGCCAGAGCCTGGCAGATTTACCACAGAACCTGTTGCCTCGAATTTACGCACCAGACGACCGATGGTTGTTTCGTTTGGGCGGTTGTTGCGACCGAAATGTTCACGAAGCGCGCGAAACGTGTTTTTTATTTTTGCACCATTTTTGTAGTGCTCTTGAATAACTTTAATGCGGTCTTCAATCGAATACGACTCCATAGCGATCAATAGTAAATATTCAACTAACAAAATGACATGTCGGTGACAGAAAACACAAATGGCGTCTATGTCAAATTGACGTTTACTTTCCTGCGTCCCTATTGGACAACCCTATATAATAATTGTGCAATATTTTTTTCCTTAAATAGCAGTAAGGTTGCCATATCACAATCCTTTAGGATTTCGGTCGTTCTTCAAGCACGTTTAACTTATTCTTGCATTGCTCAGTTGCCAGTTTATCCAAGTTACTTTAATAATATGGATAAATTGCATGCGCAATATATTTTGCTTGCGACTGTACTTAAAAAACCCTTAATGCAGAAGCTTTAAACTTTATTCAAATATCTTTAATGCCAGACGTTATATTTTCCACTTCTAATTACTTATTAAACAGTCGCAGCAATGTGTAATATATATTTATTTTCCAGTTTTTCAGACAGGAATGGTGGGATATCCGGAATCTCTGACTGACCCAAGTTACCATGCGCAAATACTTGTCTTAACTTATCCTATCATCGGAAATTATGGAGTCCCGGGGAAAGCTACCGATGAACATGGAATTCCATAGTAAGGGGTCCTGTTTATTAAACTTAAGAGCGATTTACAGTGCATTATTACACAGCTTAAGCCTGTATAGTCATTGTCACTTGCAACACTGGCTATACAAGGTGTTGTTTGGACATTTTAAGGGCAGTTCAGTTCGTTGAAGAAAGATAAAAGCTGGTATAGTCACCTAGGTCTGAAAATGCGACCTTTTTTTGACAATTTACCCTTCCTTTCTATAAAAACGAATTGCGATATTGGAATCAGCTTTGGTACACTCAAATGTACGAGGGTTGTCGCAAGAATAGGGTTCCCACATTTTTTTTCAGGCACAAGGAATTTTTTATTTGAACTCATTAGAAACGTTAATCTCTAAGCTATTTTTCTACCTAGTCGCTATTGTTTCTACGCATTTTTTTAGACGTGGGACCCACTTTTTCACTCCCGCCTGAAGGAAATCCGGCTAGCGCCCGCTTGGTGCTGAGCGCAGTGTTGCCAGTTGGATATTTCGATCAACAGTAGGATGGGATTTAAAAAAAAAACGGGAGATGTGCCTATCCCAACAGTAGATTTTAATAAATATGTATATTCTTTCGTAAAACATTATCAACACAAAGAAAACTAAGTAAAACGTACTTGTAAGTAAATAAATATCACGTTCTTTCGTAGAAAACATAAAATATCACATAAAGGCAGTCAAATAATAATATAGCAATAATATATCATATATTTGAATTTTGCTTTTTACATAATTTTAATTTTGTCAATGATTTTAATGTGTTATAACATACAGTTTCAAATTTAAATTAATTTTTTATTAATGTATCTTCTGATGACACATTTTTGTTTTTTCTTCTATGCTCATTCTTTTTTGTGACTTGCCATTTGAACCATGTGTTTGTATTTTGGCTGAATGGCTACTACTACTCCTACTACTATACTAAGTGACATATAAATAAGAACACCCAGTTTAAAAGGTTTTATTTTAATAAAATTTTGTATAAGTACTTAATGAAGCATAATAAGTAAATGATAAAAATTTCAAAATGATTGCACTGCTTTAAAGCCCTTTGACCTTTAATAATGTGTGGATGCACCCTGATGTGCTACGCATTCTCCAACGCGCCTAGGCATGCTTCTGATCAGGTGGTCAATGTCCTCCTGTGGTATCTCATTCCAGGCAACCACCAACTCCTCTCGAAGTGCTTCTCGAGTCTGAGGAGGACGTTGCAAATTGAGCAATCTCCTACCCATCATATCCCATACGTGCTCAATTGGGGATAAGTCGGGAGATCTTGGTGGCCATGGTAACAATGTGACATCATTATGTTGAAAGAAGTCTATTGTGACTCTTGCAACATGTGGTCGGGCATTATCTTGTTGGAAAGTTGGATCTGCCAAGGTGTCAAGATAGGGTAAAAGATGGGGTTCTAGAACTTCGTGGATATAACGCTGCGCGTTCATGTTACCTCTGATGAAGATTAAAGGTGACCTGGAACCATAAGCTATAGCACCCCAAACCATAACTCCAACAGTGTGATGAACATGTCTTTCAACAAAAAACTGTGGATTCCTCCTTTCACCACGTCGCCTTCTAACCCTGACACGAACATCGTGCATGCCTAAACAAAATCGAGACTCGTCACTAAAGACAATACTGTTCCATTCCTGATCCCAGAGTGACCGTTGTCTGCACCACTCAAGGCGATTACGTCGGTGTTCTTGAGTTAAAGGGAGGACCCAGTGTGGCCGGTATGAAAACAAGCCAAAACTTCTCATTCGTCGGTAAACACTTCGCATGCCAATAGTTCTTCCGTGTTCTGCAAACCATTCATTTGCAATGGACCTGGTAGTGGAGAAACGGTCCCTTAAGGCCAATAATCTTAGGCGGCGATCTTCACGGTCTGTTGTTCTACGGCGGCGTCCAGTGCCCCTTGCTCTTTGCGTACGGCCTTCTCGAAGCCATGCCTGACAACACCTAACCACAGTGTCTACACTTCTTTGCACTCTAACTGCAATTGCCCGAAAAGAAAGTCCAGCTTCCCGAAGTCCCACTATACGGCCCCTATCAAACTCACTAAGTTGACGAAATCGTACAGGTCTCCGTACTCTAGGCATCGTAACCGATCGTAAAGGATGTCAAGAACCAAAATCCGCCAACGTTGATTCTTTACTGCGGCTGAAATATTCATTTTTAGAGCGTTAGTGAATTATAAACAAAAAGCGGTATAAAAACCGGAATGTAAAACTGATAAGGCTGAAAATTTTTTCACTTGTTATTTACAGTAAGATAAATACATTTACCAACTTTTATTAAAATAAAACCATTTAAACTGGGTGTTCGGATTTATATGTCACTTAGTATATATAAAAGTAATAATATACAATAATAAAAATAAACCTTGGCGATAAAACTAGTAAATCATTCTTAATCTGAATCAGTCATTTTAGAGTTTTTCATATACATTATGTAAATTCAACAGTCCTCCAGAATCAAAAGAATGGCACGATTAGTTTTTTGATCTCAAGAAGGTTTTGCCATGAAGTAGCCATACAATGCTAAAAGTAGATAGCCTATTTCATTTTCAGCAAATTAAGTTTAATTAATTAAATTAAGTAGTCGAAGTATAATGCTAATTTTATCAACGACCGAAAATAAGCTAATACCTAGTAGGAATTGAGAAATAAACTGATTAAATGTTCATATTCGACTTTCAAACAGATCAGTCGATAATCACTATTCAAAAACTGACACCTTCTTCTAGGAGTGGCAGAAGTATAAAAAACGTATTGTCGTAATAACAGGAGATTTTATGGTGAAAACAGGAGAACAGTAGCATAGAGGTAAAAACAGTAGATCTCCTGTTAAAACAGGAGATCTGGTAACGCTGACTGAGCGTCGCCAATAGGCGCTTCGTGATCGGATCGGTGATGGGGGAGCCGACAAACACTACGGTGTTGCCAGATTTCGCTTAGCATCATGCCCGGGAAGATACAGCGTCGGGAAATGGTGGGGAACCTTATTTTCGAGACAAACCTTGTGAATGTACAAAATTCTCATATAGCCTGATGAAAAAACAAAAATGGTGATGGAAGAAATGTCCAATTGAGAATTCTAGAGAAGAATGAGTAAAAATGACAACATGCAATTTATTTTGATATGCCGTCTCAAATGAACAGAAAAAAGTAAAAGTGATTTTGGGATAAATCTGGTATGCTAAACGAATGACTAGCTGATAATTCCAAGGCCTACCTAGGAAATTATACTTTTATTGACATAACTAAGGTTTGTCAATGCCAGTGTATGACGTATACACTTTTGGAAACAGGATTAAAAACCCTATTTATCTGTGCCAAAATCCAAAATGGTGTCCATAAGAAAAAATAAAGTTGATAAGAGGCGAAACGTCATATACAAATTCTAATTATACCTTCTTGTAGAGGAGAAAAAGTGTCAACGTAAATGTGCAATTTATTTTCTCATCCCAATACAAAAAAGTCAGGAAAAAATAAAACGTATTACCTTGAATTTAAACTTTCTAAGCGACATTTTGTAGACTACCTAAACACCCAAGTTTACCGCCACTTAAGCGACTTCGTGTCTCACACATTTTCCGAGATCCCAACGGTGAGGATCGAACTTGAAACACCCTGTATTCGATTTTTCTTTTAGTTTCTTCGAATCGCACCGTATTTGGGCCGCAGCTCTTGTTGTTGGTGAACACTGTGATCACCCTAGTCATTGGCGAAAAACAAAAACGCTGGCACAATGGATGGCAGAAGAACAAGTTCCCGGCATACAGGGTGTCGACACCAGAATGCTGACAAAAATGATCAGAGAAAAAGGATCGATGCTCGGGAAAATAATATATTCTCTACCTCTAACTGATGATACGGCGAAAATCAGTGATCCGAATCTTCGGAATCTGGTGGATGAGGTTTCAATTAAGGTATATACAGGGTGCGTCAACTATTACTTTTTTTCTGTTTGAAAAATCAACACGCTTTTTACGAGGTGAAATCGGTTTTTTTTATTGATAAATGAAGATTGGTTTATGCCATTTATGTATGAAAAATAACATCAGTCATGCGACCACAGCGGCTTCGTTTACAGGCCAACATCCGAACAGCAACATTTTCAATGACTTTTCCCAGAATAATCGGATCTATGGTCGCAATTTCACTCCGAATATTGCGCTTTAGGTCTTGAATTGTCCGGGGACCATTCGCATACACTTTTTCTTTCAAAAATCCCCAAAGAAAATAGTCAAGAGGTGTTAAATCGCACGATCTCGACATCTGAATTTCGTGAAATTATGCGGTCTTGAAATTTCGCGTGCAATAAGGTGATTGTTTGGCGAGATGTGTGAGCCATTGCTCCGTCTTGATGAAACCAAAGATCGTCGGTACCAATACGATCCAATTGTGGCCACAAAAAGTTTGTTAACATGCCGCGATAATATTCCCCGTTGACGGTAATGGCCGTTTCTTCGGCGTCTTCAAAGAAGAATGGTCCAACGATGCCACCATCCCATAATCCGCACCAAACAGTCACTTTTTCAGGATGGAGCGGTTGTTCATGATATTGGTGTGGATTTCCAGCCCCCCAGAATCTGCAATTTTGCTTATTTACGAACCCATTGAGGTGAAAATGAGCCTCATCTGAAAAGAGCACTTTGGCCGAAAAATCATCTTCTCTTTCCAGCAGCCGATTAACAAAAACACGCCGTTGTTGATGGTCTGCCGGCTTCAATTTCTGTGTTAGTTGGATTTTGTATGGATGGAGGTGTAAATCAATGTGTAAAATCCGGCGTAAAGTGGTCCATGACGGCCAAAACTAGTTCGAGGTTTGCGAAAAGTATTTTTTATATTTCGACCGTTATTACAAAGTTTGGATAACCAAAATGCGTTGTTCTGTTGTAAACGAATCCATGACTATAAATGGCATTGCTGTGACAGTTCATTTATACATACCACATGACTTTTGATTCACATGGTAACCCATAAACTTATAGGTAAAAAAAAGTAATAGATGGCGCACCCAGTACAAGAAAGAATTGATGCAATAGATTTCTCGAAAAATTCGAGTATTCTATCTTGTTAATCAAAGATTCAACATTATTTTATACACAATTCTTTATCTTCATAATATATTATTTGAATCGTTTCTATTTCAGGCTCCCAAAACGTACAATCCAAAAGGCAGTCCAAGAATCTGTGCGATAGACTGTGGCTTGAAATACAATCAACTACGTTGCTTTATTAATAGAGGAGCTCGTGTAGATTTAGTCCCATGGAACCACAAATTGAACGTCAACGAATTCGACGGTTTGTTCCTCAGCAACGGTCCGGGAAATCCGGAAATGTGCCTGAAGACGATCGAGAATATCAGAAACGTAATGAATAGCGGTCAAGTTAAGCCAATTTTCGGGATTTGTTTGGGACATCAGCTGCTGTCTATGGCAATCGGATGTTCCAGTTATAAAATGAAGTACGTTTTTTTGTAGAATATTCTGATTTGGAATATATCATAGAAATGACGTCAAGTGGGTTGACTCTGCACGCAACACCGTTAACCGTTCATTAAGGATTCAACGCAGCAGAAATAACTTACAAACATGTATAACAGAGAAATTAAACGGCAACATCGCCTCTCGCTGATACCTGACCGCGCAAGGCGCGGCAGGCAGCAGTAAGACCAGGACACTTACCAAAGCCGATACGCTCGACGGTGAATTCAGACACCAGCAGTAGGGATGCGTATCGAAAGCAGCTATCATTGTTTTAACTTCGCATTCTTTTCAGCAGCCTGATCGGAGGAGTATTCTTAATATGTTTTTTCTGATTGTTTCATGGTGTATACAGGGTGTCCCAGAAGCCGACGTCAAGCCGAAACCGGGTGATAGGCAAAGTCATAACAGCTACGAGAAAAATATTTAAAAAATTTTTATGTATGTGTTTTGAAAATTATAGGTCTTTGAAAAAGATATAGAAATTTCACACCCTACGGCAGTCTGTCAACTCTTGTTGCTACAAATATTAACTTTTTTTGGATTTTATTTTTACAATGTAATGATGAATAATGCATGTTCAAACTGGTGTCTCAACCTTACTGCCAACTTTTCTCGTTCAGGAAAGATTGCCACTTATTTCCCAACCAAGTATTCCAAAGTAAAACTTTGCTCAACTTTAACTGGCTGTACTGGAAAAAATGTACTACGAGAGTTTGGCAAGTAACCTTAAAAGATGGCGCATTTAATAAGGATTCCAAAATGGTATAACACTTAGAAGATTACTCGTTAACTTATGCACAATTTTTATTTGAAGAAAAACTGATGAAAATTTTTCAGAATTTCCTAATTAAACAGCGATTATGAAAACGCACAAGGACCCTTAAGGATAACTGTTTGCACAATAGTGGGCGTCAAAATGCTGCTGATGATGATTTATCTTTACAGCAAATGCTCAAACTGTTTTCCTTCAGCCGCAATACACGCTCGAGATTTTCTTAAAAAAGATCGGGTTATTAAACGACCGATTATTTTACCATTTAAAATTCCTGTCCAATGGTTTATCTTGAAGCGATATTGAGATTTATTTTCTCTCATCAAATGTGGGTTTGCTACGTGCCACTAGTGTAAGTTATGCAGGTTCATGTACCCATCTTTCTTAAATGTGGTCTCGTCCGACCATAAAATTTTTTCAAAGAACTGTGGATCTTTCCTGTGTGTTTCTAACATTGCGCGACAAAAAGCAACTCGGGGCTCATAATCCCGGCGCAGGAGAAGTTGAACACGCTGTATGTGGTATGGATGAAGCACATCACTTACTTGCTATTGCACACTTTGATACCGATCAGTACTCCATCGTTTACTGCGCATCTTTACATGTTCGTGCTTGTTGATTTCGTACTGCTACTAATTTTGGATTCGTGAACTGGACTGTTGATCGCTTGTGATTTGGATTTGGACTGTTTAATTGCTCTTCAAAACAACATTTGCTTTCCTTAGACTATCTTTGATAGTGCGATTGCGCAGTGCCGCTATGTCCGTGTACACCGTACAAGAATATGCTAACATGCACCTCATTTATGGGGAATGCAGATGCAACGCTAGTGCTGCAGCGAGACTTTACTGTGATAGGTACCCGAATGCAGCTCGTCATCCAGATCATCGAGTGTTCACAAATGTGCACCGTTTACTGTTTTCAGAGGGCCAACTACCAAACCAATCACACGGTGAGGGAAGATCTTTCCTTCCTTACGAAGACGTGGTGCTAGGAGCTGTCGAAGAAGACCCGAGTACTTCAGTGCGTGCAATAGAACTGAAAACAGGTGTGCCCAAAAGTACAGCCCATAGAATCTTGCAAAAAAACGTGCTCCATCCATACCACGTACAGCGTGTTCAAGCTCTTCTGCTCCGGGATTATGAGCCCCGAGTTGCTTTTTGTCGCACAATGTTAGAAAGACACAGGGAAGATCCACGGTTCTTTGAAAAAATTGTATGGCCAGATGAGATCACATTTAAAAAAGATGGGTACATGAACCTGCATAACTTACACGAGTGGCACGTAGCAAACCCACATTTGATGAGAGAAGATAAATCTCAATATCGCTTCAAGATAAACCATTAGAAAGGAATTTTAAATGGTAAAATAATCGGTCCGTCTGAGTTCCCAGAGACTTTGACTGCTGAGGTTTATTTAGGTTTTTTGCAAAATCATTTAGAAATTTTTTTGGAGGACGTGCCACTGAGTATTTACAGAGACATGTGGTTTCAGCATGATGGCTGCCCAGCACACTATGCACTCTCAGTGAGAGAGTATCTCGATCAAAACTTTCCAGGCAGATGGATAGGGCGCTCTGGTACAATACCGTGGCCAGCCCGGTCACCAGATTTGAATCCGTTAGATTTTTTTTACTGGGGAACTGTAAAAGAAAAAGTGTATTTCAAGCCGATTCAAAATGTAGCTGAGCTACGGCAAAAACTATTGGAAGCAGCTGAGTTTGTTGATAACCGTGGATTCGCTCGTTTAATAATCCGATCTTTTTTAAGATGTCGAGCGTGTATTGCGGCTGAAGGAAAACAGTTTGAGCATTTGCTGTAAAGGTGAATCATCATCAGCAGCATTTTGACGCCCACTGTTGTGCAAACAGTTATCCTTAAGGGTCCTTGTGCGTTTTCACAATCGCTGTTTAATTAGGAAATTTTGAAAAATTTCATGTTTTTTTTCAAATAAAAATTGTGCATAAGTTAACGAGTAATCTTCTAAGTGTTTTACCATTTTGGAATCGTTATTAAATGCGCCAACTTTTAAGGTTACTTGCCAAACTCTCGTAGTACATTTTTTCCAGTACAGCCAGTTAAAGTTGAGCAAAGTTTTACTTTGGAATACTTGGTTGGGAAATAAGTGGCAATTTTTCCTGAACGAGAAAAGTTGGCAGTAAGGTTGAGACACCAGTTTGAACATGCATTATTCATCATTATATTGTAAAAATAAAATCCAAAAAAAGTTAATATTTGTAGTAACAGGAGTTGACAGACTGCCGTAGGGTGTGAAATTTCTATATCTTTTTCAAAGACCTATAATTTTCAAAACACATACATACAATTTTTTTAAATATTTTTCTGATAGCTGTTATGACTTTGCCTATCACCCGGTTTCGGCTTGACGTCGACTTCTGGGACACCCTGTATAGCGACGAAATAAAACAACATTATCAATCACTATTTTGCCAAAAAGTACATCGTAACTTGTAAACAAATAATAGCACTTTTCGAAAAGAAATGTGTCAAAAACATGAATTCATGCACAGCTATGCCGCGCGCACATACAGGGTTTGTCCGTAAAGTAATAGGACTGTGTCGATTTAAAAGACTCCTTCTGCGTCGGTGCAGCGCTGCCAGCGCGATTTCCAAGCATTGAAGGCGACACGGAAGGCATTCTCCGGAATAGCCTTGAGAGCCGCGGTACATGCTGCTTGGATCCTCTCTGTCGTCTCAAAATGCTTGCCTTTCATCGGCCTTTTTAGGCGAGGAAACAAAAAAGTCTGGTAGGGCAACATCTGGGCTGTAGGGCGGCTGCGGAACCGTTGGGATGCCGGCCTTGGTCAGGTATACTATAACTATCTAAAACTGTAATGACTCATCGATGTTCACGTGAACATCACTTAACTACCAGTAGTCGGCTGTTCATAGGCGGGGTATGAATGTTTAACGTGGGTGAACTAGATTTGTCACATGCTTAATAAAGAGTGGTTTGAAACATATTGTAAGTCAAAAATTTGGGAATTACCTTTATTAATCGTCGCTTCCACTTACATCTGACAGTAATAAACTGTCGCTATCGCTTTCTTCGTTGAAATTGACTATAACTGGCTCTATGATGGTGTCGATGTGGTGGTCAAGCTGCCACATTTTTGTTTCTTCCTTCACAACATGACGGATAGCATTCTGCCAAGCTTCGGGCGTTACTAGCTGTATGGAAGTCTCAAGTAAAACCTTAACGTCTGGTAATTTGAAGGTTGTGTTATGGCGCGCAATATAACCCTTCACTTGAGCCAAGATGAGCTCTATTGGGTTCAGTTCACAGTGGTAGGGCGGTAACCGCAGCACAGTGACACCACATTGACGGGCCATCTCATCAGTCACGTAACTAATGTTCGCAGGTTTGTGCTGTTTAATTTTTTCATACAATTCCGCTTTCACACATGAATCGTCAAACGGGATTCCTTTTTCGCGCAACCATTGCTGCATGTCACTTTTTCGAGATCATAGTCAGTACACGTTCGGCTCGACGACTATGGTAGGAAGCATTATCCATGACGATCACAGATGGGCTCAACTCGCTGAAGCACCCCTTGAAACCAGCTCTCGAAGCAGCTGGCATTCATTTCGTCATGGTAATCACCTCCTTTCTTAGAGACGAAAATCAAGTCACACTCTTCTAAAAAGCCACTATCGCTACCAATATGAGTTACTATCAATCTTTGACCTTTCCCTGACGGTCCACGAAGACCTGTTGACAAACCTTCAACGCTTGCTTGTCGGTTACTCACTACGTTTTTGTCTATCCAGGTTTGTTTAACTGTGTGACCTGCATTTACCCATGTCTCGTCCAAATAAAAGATTTTTCTGTTTTGTCGCCTATATTCAATCATTTCGCGTAGGTATTTTCGACGCCAGACGATTATTTCAGGTCTCTCTATCAATACTGACTTCCGATTACGCGTTTCGTAACGAAAATTAATTTCGTGCAGGGATTTCCTCATTACCTCGACGCTCATTTGGGGTATAATTTCATTTTCCTTGATCGCTGCATGTACAGCCTCGAGGGTTGGTATCTCATTCCTAAAGAAGAATGAATGTACGGTTCGCCTTAACGCCATTTTGCTATCGTCATCCAATTTAACGGCCTTTCGTCCCTTCAAATTAAACTTTGGATCAGTAGTAGCTCCAGTTTTCTTCTTTTCATGCACCATCCTGCGAATGGTCCACTCTGCGACATAGTTCTGTTCAGATAATTGAACACGTTGAGCACGATTTCTTTCGCGTCCCTCTGAAGCCGTCCACTTGTTCCCTAGCTTTCAGTACTTCCACTCGTGCCATTTGTACTCTCCATGGTTAAGTATAACCAAAACAGTAACCACAGAAACCACAACAATAACAATCACACAACAATTCTTATAAAAACACACAATATGCGATCGCTCAACGAAACACGTTCCAATGCGTTGCCGACGCCTATGAGTCTGCCGGTCGAGGCGCGTCTTTGATTTCATTGGTTCTACCGGCGAAGAACAATCAGCCATTATTTCCATCTCTGTCTGTGCTGTTGACCACCGCAAAGCCACAGAAACGACGTATGTCGTACGCGATACGGCTGTACTGGAAGGAAGCCGGGATCGAGCTCTGATCACGTGTTCATCACGCGTATGAGTCATTACAGTTTTAAATAGTTGTAGTATAGCTGTTCACAAAAAAGGCGGTATGAGCCGGGGCGTTGTCGTGGTGCAACTTCCAGTTGGCTGCGATGTCTTGTCGGACCCGACTGACCCTTCGTTTGAGTCCTGAGCACTTCCACGTAAAACTTGGCGTCGACGGTTTGTCCAGGAGGAACAAATTCATGGTGGACGATGCCTTTGATGTCAAAAAGGACAATGAGCATCGTTTTCACTTTGGACTTGCTCATTCTTCCCTTTTTTGGGCGAGGAGTCGCCGTCGTCTGCCACTCGGAAGATTGCCTTTCTATCTCGGGATCATACTCAAAGATCCACGACTCGTCACCCGTGATTACGTTATTCAAAAATTGGGGGTCACTTTCACACATGTTCAAATTTTCTTGGCACACTTCCACTCGCCTCTTCCCGGCCCTCCAAAAAGGCCTGGTGCCACCGAAACACACCACTTCTTGCTAAAGCAACACCTGGGTAAGCCTGCTTGATTAAATCAAACGTCTCTGTCGCAGATTTACCGAGTTTCACACATAATTTAATCGCGTACCTCTGCTCTAACGAACGCTGCATTTTCGGCTTGCACCACTCACAGAAACACGTTGCGCAAAAATGCCTGCCCTGATTCTCCAAGTGCTCGGAGACAACTGACCAGCCGCTCATTCGTTAGCTAGGAACGCCCTCTACCGAATAACTAAAACTAAAATAATTTTAAGGTAAATTTATTTTAATAAAAAATAAGGACAACAAAAATAAAAAAAAAATTTTTAAGTGCTTACTTTTTAAGTACTTTCTTTTAAATTTTTAGTGTCCTTATTTTTTATTAAAAGTTAGCAAAAAAAGTTTATGGGGGATAAGTCAATAGAAAATTTTATTTCTTTTTTATACTTTCAAAGTATATACTTATTTAAATAATTTTGTTAGAAATTACTTGTTAGAGAAATAAAAATTTGACTTAAATAATTTTATTAATAAAATACAATTTTAAATAATTATAAGAAAAAATTTGAATAAAATTAGAATAATTAGTAAAAACTTCTAGATTTTTTCCCTCGTAATATTCAAATATAACTAAAACTCCAGTCGGTGAGCGCACGCTCCGAAGTACAGTCATGGCGGAAGGAAATGAGTCCTATTACTTTCCGGACAAACCCTGTAGAAAGTGACAACGTTGCCAGATTGACACCAACCACCGGTAGAGCAGGGAAAGATTGTCTTTTGGACCTGTCTGTCATACTTAGTCCGCTTGATATCTCTGTTGTACATGTTCGTAACCGACTTTTGTGTCAGAGGATAACGCCGAAGTGAATCCTTTATGAACGTAGCAGAGACAAAATACTTGACGCTATTTTTGTTGTTTGTAGATATGGAAACAGAGGTCACAACCAGCCGTGCATCCACTATGCCACACTGAGATGCAACATGACGTCGCAGAATCACGGTTTCGCAATAAACACCGAAACATTACCGGAAGGTTGGATAGAACTGTTTACTAATGCCAACGATAAGACAAATGAAGGCATAGCCCACAAATCGTTGCCGTATTTTAGGTATGGTTTTCTTACTATTTTGTTTATAAGGGCGCGTACACACGCTTGTAAAACCCAGGGTTGCTGTCGACCCCTTTGTCACTTTTTTGATACGTTTCAATTTTCACTGAAAACACTCAATCTTCTCACTAGTTTCGCTTTCGTCGTACATATTGCAGTTTATGTAATTTTTTTTATAAAAATTAACTATGACAAAGTTGTTCATGTACAGGGTTAGCCTTAAGCTGAGCCAATATGTACAGGGTGGCCGGTATGCAACTGACTGGTTCGTTTTTTGAATATTTGTGAAATGAAATAAAATACGTTAACTTTTTTCATCTCAATCTTTTACTGAAACTTAAAAATTATGTATGATAATAATATCAGTCTATAATTTTTGGTAGGTTTCGGGAATAATAATAATAATAATTTATTGGTACTTTACACAAAAATGTGTTTGCACACGTCAGTTAGAGTAGAACATAAAAGAGTAAGTAGAAACAACAAACAATACGAAAGTAAGACAAACGTAAAACACAGAGTGTCAATAAAAGGTAAAAAAAACTTGATAAAACCTAGTTTAAAATTTAGACGAACAATAAAATAAGATGTTTAAAAAATTATGAATTAATGATATTTTTTTCATATTTGTACTCAAAAGTCCTTACACACGTCTGGAGAACAATAAAATGTAATACAAAAATAACACATTCACAAACGAAAACAAAGTAATAAAACAAATAGTCAACAATTATGGAACCAAGTAGGCTTTGATATCATCAGAGTAATCATTTGTTTCGTATATGAGATTTATTGAAAAGTCATTGTTTTATTTAGCATTGCCACTCTTCTCTAGAAGAGGGGGTAGTCGATTCTCGATAAGACGTTTCTGCTTTCCACAGCTTTGTTTTTTCTTATTAAAATTTTGCGCAATCGAACACAATTTTTGATTCTGCACTTAGTTATGAATATAATGACATTTCTTCTTCACATATTTAATTAAAGTAATATTATCTTTAGTAATATTTAAATGTACAAAGTTCTAATATAGCGTCCATATGAAAAAACAAAGCTGGTGATTCTAGTCGAAATAAGAAACCTCGAATTGAAAGTTTGAATACGCCATCTTGTAGAGGAGAAAAAGCGACACAGACGGCATGCAAAGTATTTCGAAATCTCAAATAAAGACAGGAAAAAAATAAAATGATTTTATAATAAATATGGGATAGGAAACATATGATAAATTCAAGGCCAACCTAGGACATTCAGTTTTATTTTTAAAGCAATTAAGGTTTGGCAATGTTAATGTATGATACGTTATACATTTTTGGAATCAGAATTAAAAGCTCTATTCATCTGTGCGAAACTCCAATATGGCGTTCATAAGAAAAAATTTGATTCTGGAAGACAATAGACGAAACTTCATATTAAAATTCTGATCATGCCATCTTGTAGAGGGGAAAAAGAGGAAATGTTGACATGCAATTTATTTTGGAACCCCATCTCAAATAAAGTAGGGAAAAAATAAATTAAGTGATTTTGGATTTCGAAACTTTCTAAGCGAATTTGCCTGTATTTAAGCGACTTTGTATCTCTTCCCGTTTCCGACATGCCAATGGTGATGATCGAATTTGAAACACCCTGCATAAAAAACTTACCTTTCAGCGTTCAGTTTCATCCGGAACATATGGCTGGACCTTGGGATATGGAGGTCCTGTTTGACCTGTACCTCGAGGTCATCAGCAAATACAAAAGTACAAAAGTAAGCATCAATGATTTGGTAACGGAAAAATTGACGTTCAAGATGGAAAGGCCTTTGTCGAAAGATGTGCCTCAGAAAGTACTGATTATAGGTAGGTTTGATTCAAAGATAAGTGTATTATTCTGATGGGAAAATTGCCAAGTACACAGGATGAAAAACAACATTCCTCGGTGAAATATCGCTTTTTTATGAGACATACGTTGCTCAAGTGCAATTTTTTAAATCTCCTTTTCTTTATTGCTCAAGCTCTGTTTATGATGTACACATGGACATTGAAAGTTGGGGGGTGCGAGGTTTGGGAATATGATTGCATACTAAGAAGGGTCCTTGTTTTTTGGTCACTTGGTGATAATTTTTAATGTTTGCGTTGAAAAATGCTACCTCCAGTAAAGAGTCATTCCTACATTTGTGGTTTCATTTAGCAGTCATCAAAAGATGGAGTTTTCTTAGTATGAAAACCACAGGATAAGTTTTAGATATTACATAGGGTGGTTCCTTGTCAGTGAATATGAATGGGTGATAAATTATTTTTTTCATTTATCTCTTAACATTTACTCTACTCTGTTGAAATTTGACAATATTGTTTGTTGTATCAAGAGGCTAATTTAGCCCTAAACAGATTAAAATTATTAGGTCCAGTGATGTCCCGGAGGGTCACCTTAGCGAATATTATTGGCAAAAAATGTACCCTACTGCCTCTTTTGCAACTTTAATATTTGTTGTTTGATTAAGCACCTAAAAATACAGGGTGACGGGAAAATTGATGCGGAGCCGGTGGGGGGAGATAGTACAAGCCAATCTGAGTCGATTTTACTATAGGAAAATTAGCCGTTTTCGAATTATACTAATTTTTAAGATTTTATAAAATTAACGTCCTTTTACGTTAACCAAGTCATAAAACTTGAAAATTGGGTGTTTCATTTGATTTTTTTTTTGGTTTTACGATAAAAATATTCTAAAATACGAAAATTGATACTCAAATGTACATTATTGACGTTATCTCATGCAGTAAGCTTCAAAATAGTTCAATTTATGTTAAAAAAATCTTCGTTCTTCTCAAAAACTCAATTTACTGGAAACAATCACCTACAAATTTTTCGTGCAAAACAATTTTAAAATATCTACGTTTCATTACCTTTCAAATGAGGTATCAAAGTCACAAACCGGTTTAGAAATGACAAAGATATGAGTGAAAGAAACAGGTAGAGCCGCGAACATTTTGCCGCCGGAATAGTGTGATAAGTAAGACTAGTCACCCCCCTCCCTCCCTCCCTCGCTTCAATCTGCTCTTGCGATTTGTTGCGTTCGGATGTGTTTGTTTGCTCGCTGTTCTGATATTTCTAACGACTTGGCTGTTGTTGGACTTCCGTGTGTGATTCTTTTCCCGACGACCTAGTCTGTACCCTATTTTCTGTGATTCCTTACGACTTGGCTTCTGTACCACTTGATTGTCCGTTGATCTACCTATCGATGAACAATGGCTGATAACAAAGGAGGCGGCCGTTCAGTTTCGAAGAATATGCCGATATCCTGTCTTTTTTGTGTGGGGTCGCACGGAAACTTTAGTATACTCTGATCAAAATCCCGTACCCACAATAGAAGACCTCAGAAACAGGATAATACATGCAGCACCAGAAATTCAAGCCTCTCTTAGGAATTCGGCGGTAGTAAAATCAGCTGTCATTAGTAATAGAGGGCGGCATATTGAAAATGTATTATAAAAATAAAAAAATGTAGTTTCAAACAAATTATCCTGTATTAAGGTATGATTTTGTAAGTGTAGTATTTTTAATGCTTTTTCCTTCTTCCTCTTATAATAGTCATATTTTTGAAAATTCTTAATCGATTTGTGATTTTTATACCTCATTTGAAAGGTAATGAAACGCAGATGTTTCCTAATTATTTTGTATGAAAAATTTCTATGCGACTTTTTCTCGTAAATTGAAGCTTTTGAGATGAACGAAGATTTTTTTAAGAAAAATCGAACTATTTTGATGCTTATTGCATGAGATAACGTCAATAATGTACATTTGAGTATCTATTTTCGAATTTTAGAATATTTTTATTGTAAAACAAAAAAAAAAATTAAATGAAACACCCAATTTTCAAGTTTTATGACTTGGTTAACGTATAAAGGACGTTAATTTTATAAAAATCTTAAAAATTAGTATAATTTGAAAAAGGCTAATGTTCCTATAGTAAAATCGACTCAGATTGGCTTGTACTATCTCCATCCACCGGCTCCGTATCAATTTTCCCGTCAACCTGTGTAACTGCCTTGGTTCTTGTATTTTTTCGTATCTCACTTCGTTTTCGAGAAAAAATAAAAGCCGTTTTATTGCATGTTACTGGACAAAATTGGTTTATTAAGTTTTGCTCAAAAAACCAAAGTGCCTTGGAAAACAAAAAATCAAAAATCAACCTCTTAACAGAACAAATACTATTGCCAAATTTCAACAGAATCAAGAAAATATTTTTTAAGATATTATATATTTTTTTTTAAATTTATCACTCTGTATCTTTAAAACTGTATATTTCCGAACCCATGTTTATAGAAAATTTTTTCATATTTTTTAACAAGGGATGATCCTCTAAAATATCTCCGTCTAGTTTTCGAACACCCTGTATACTGTTCAACATAGTATGTATGTCGCTATTTCATGCCATATACAGGGTGTCCGCAAAGTTGGGGTTTTCCCTTTCAGAAACAACTACCCTTGAAATAACAAAGGTAATGTGTAGTGAAACGAGGGCGACCAAGTAAAAAAAAAATAAAGGAAAAAGTACTCACTCTCCAGTTGACGAGAAGGGCTAAGTCCGTCTCTGCCCGAAATCATACCGCTCCAACAGAAAATGAAATCAGCTGATGCGCTACCGAGCAGACGCAGAAACCACATTGATTGTGTTACACTTAGTGGCACATCTTCTAACAAGGAAGGCAAAATGTTGCGTAAAAGTCTAGGTATTGTATCCCGTCCAATCGATTTGGGAGAATAAATGGTCCAGTGAGCATACCGTTCACCATGCCAGCCCAAACATTCACCGAAAATGTTTGTTGAAAATGTGCCCGACGGACAGCGTGCGGATTTTCTACTGACCAAACATGAGTGTTGCGAAAGTTATTCACCCCATTACGCGTGAACGTAGATTCGTCTGTCACCAATATGCACTTCAAAAAGTCCGGATTATTGTCATGTTGATGCAACAACCACTCACAAAACCGCACTCTTGCTGGAAAATCGTCAGGTTGTACACGTTGGACGTGAAACGGATACAGCCCCTCTACACGCAGCGTTTGCCACACTTTAGTTTTTGATACTTGCACTTCTCTGGCCACGTCTCTAGTGCCTGTTGAGGGATTCTCGTCTACGCGATTACCTCTGCATGCGTGACCGTAACCGCCGGTTGAAGGTTGCATACTGACCTGACACACTGACCCCGACCCAGTTCTGCCGTCGGGTTGAGACCTTGTACCAATCGGTGATGTCCCGGGTCGCGGCTACAGGACGGTATTCAGATATTTTTGATGTTGCAGAGCCCTTTATCTCGGTTCCCTTAAGACATTGGTGTATATGGTACTAAGAAAAATTGTGTATGTTTTCAAGATCTACACGTCGTGTAAAGGAAAACCCCAACTTTGCGGACACCCTGTATTTCTTTTCTAGTGTCGTTTGAGTGTTTCTTATCGAAAATTATGATAAAGGGATCATTTTTAAGTGAAGACCATCGATCTGTCGCAAAGTCAAATGACTGAATCAACCGCTCATTAAAAGCGAAATTTAGCTAATTTCTAATTTTTTCAGCCTTCATAACTAACAGCACTTATCTTCTTTTACGGTTGTGTTCGATCTCTGTCTCCTATCTCGTTCTCGTTGTACAACAACTTGTTCGATTGGATTGGATGGATAAAAAAATTGTTTTTTATATTTGAGCTTCAATACAATGTTTCATTTTCGGTCACGACTTGTGAATCACCCTGTATAATAGCCGACAACCGTAGGTTCTGGAGGGTTGTCCATCGGCCAGGCCGGCGAGTTCGACTACTCCGGCTCGCAAGCGATCAAAGCTCTGAAAGAAGAAAACGTCCAGACTCTCCTGATAAACCCAAACATCGCGACAGTGCAAACAACGAAAGGCCTGGCAGACAAAGTCTACTTTCTCCCTCTACTTCCTGGCTACGTAGAACAAGTGATTCGATCTGAGAGACCTGACGGAGTCCTGCTAACTTTCGGGGGACAGACGGGGCTCAATTGCGGAGTGGAGCTCGAGAAACAAGGCGTTTTCAAGAAGTATAACTGTAAAGTACTTGGGACTCCGATCCAAGCGATCATCGATACCGAGGATAGAAAAGTGTTCAATGAGAGGATTGCAGACATTGGAGAAAAGGTAACTATGAAATTCCAATCTCAGCCATCTATGAAAAACTGTCCAAATTAGACGTTAATAAAGGATCTGGACCTGTACCTCCGTTGTTGATTAAACATTGTACCTTTCTGACTTCTAGACCTCTGTTTTATATTTTTAATCTTTCGTCGAAAAGTGGAACAAGCTTCATTACTCCAATACTGAAATCAGCAGATCCATCCAAGTCAAAAATTATCGACCTATCGGTAAACTGAGTTGCATTGGAATGGTATTTGAGAGCCTAGTGTGTGAATTTTTATCCGCAAATTTGCAAAGTAGTTTTATAAGCCAACAGATTGGATTTCTTTCAAAACGCTCCGCGCAGTTAAATCTTTTAACAGTCACAAACTATGTTTTGGAATCCTTGGAGGAAAGTGATTCTGTTCACGAAGTTTATACAGATTTTCCTAAAGCATTCGATAAGGTCAACCATGAGATCTTGATCAATTGTCTAGGAATCAAATGAGATTAATGTGCCATCTGGAGTACCTCAAGGATCCCATCTGGGTCCTCTTCTTTGCAAGATATACGTGAATGATATTATATACTGTTTTAAGTCTGTTAGTGTTCTAATGTTTGCAGACGATTTGAAATTATTCTTAAAAATCAAATATAATAATGATTGTTTAAATATCCAAAATGATTTGAATTCATTGAGTCTCTGGTGTCAAACGAATAAAATGGAACTTAATGTGGAAAAATGTCATCAGCCGTAACACGGACCCCATTGATCATACTTATACCATGAAAGGTTGTCTTCTAAAGAGTGTATGCCAAGTTAGGGATTAAGGGGTAATTCTTGACCCAAAATTATCCTTTATTACTCATATAAATATGATTGTTTCTAAATCTCTTCAACTGTTAGGATTTATAAAACGATGTGCTAAGAATTTTCATAATACTCAGTCTCTTAAAACGTTGTTTTGTTCTTTGGTGAGGCCCCATTTGGAGTATTGTTCTTATTCAGGCAATTGAGAGAGTGCAACATAAATTCTTGAGATTCATTTCATTCAAACAAAACATTATGGTTGAAGATATTATCTATTCCGTCATTGAAAGCCCTCTCAATATCTCAATCCTTCAGGTAAGACGGAATCAGAGGGACCTGTCACTATTTTATAATATTTTGCACTCTCTTAGTTTTGCTCCTGAACTTTTGAAAAATATTAGTCTCCTTGTGCCTTCTCGTCATACAAGACTGAATCAACCATTCCATGTGACATCAGTTCGTACTAATTATGCTAGTAATTTTTTCCTGTCCAGATCCTCCAGGTTAGCAAATCAGTATTCTAATAAGTTGGATTTATTCAGAAGTCAGAAAATATTCAAAATTCAATTAGATTCCTGTCTGTAATATTTAATATTTGATTTCCCTACATATTTAAATTTTAATTAAATCCGTCTCAATTTAGAAGTGATCTGGATTGTAAAGTGTCTGTGATTGTTTTAAGTGTACAGTATATTCAGATAAGAGATAGACCGGACATAAATAAGACCACGTGATCATCGAACGCTGTAACATTCGGCAGGGACGTATTAAGAGTCACGCAGTACATATTTTAGATAGTAGATGCTGCTTTGCGTAACTTTGTAGTAAATTAGCACAATTCGATGTGTATACGATTGGTGATGGATATAGGATCATGTGGGGTGGGGTAAGAAATATATAATGATGTAAATATACATAAGGGTTTCAAAATTTTCGCTTCGATTTCCAGCTTCGGATGCCGCCTGATGTTTGGTGAAATACAGTCGAATATAATCTCAAAATGGCGTTTAAATTAGCCTAAATTAAAAATAATCGTATATCTCTTAAAATTGCTTTTAGAATATTGATTAGTATATTTTTTGATTTCTAGGTAAATATGTAACCAAATTAAAACGTTCAAAACGTAAAAAAATGTGCATGGTTGAACATTGACAGAAAGTAGATTCTTGAATAGGTTTTGCCAAAATGGGTTCAAAAATGTCAATAATTAATTAAAAAATACAGTAGCTTTATAATTACTTATAACTTACCGAATTTGATGAACGACATCTTTTATTGGAAAGATGAGCTTGATGAGCTTTCATCATCGCTACTGCCTGAAGCACCAACGTCAATAATAAATGGCTCGACTTGTTCCTCTAAAATACTGTCCAGTTCCCACATTCTCTTTTCAACTTTGTCTTTCACGTGCTTAATACAGTTTTCCCATTTTTGCGCTGTTATTAATTCTAGTGCTTATTTGAAAAATCCTTTGAGGTCTCAAAATTTAAAAGTTGTATTGTGCTTAGCTATATAATTTTTAACCTCTGCCCATATGAGCTCAATGGGATTGAGCTCGCAATGGTATGGAGGTAAACGGAGCACAGTTTTATTTTGACTTGCTGCCATTTCGTCAATGGCGTATTTTTGATATTCCGCCTTGTGATCCTTGACAATTCTTAATAATTGTACTTTCAGCATTGCTTCTTCAAAGTTGATATTTTTCGAGCGGAGCCAATTTTGAACATCAACTTTCCTTGAAGCCGTTGTTGGGACCTTCTCCATTCTTCGAGAATGATAAGGCGCATTATCCAACACAATTACTGCGTTTTCCTCTAAGTTCGGTAAAATTTTTGAAAACCACAGTTCAAACGATTCGCCATTCATTTCCTCGTGGTAATCTCCAGTTTTCTTAGACTCAAAGCACCACAGACCGTCAACAACAAATCCATCCTCACTGCCAATAGGCAGATAATGAGCCTCTTCCCTTTACCTGGAAGTCGAAGTACTAACTGGTGTAGATTTATTTCAATAAGCGAACCTTTTTCAAATGTTTTCATCACATTCAGCGAAAAAACATTGAGACATGAGTACCAGATTGCTATAATTGGGATTATTTAGTCATATTGAAAGAAAGAATATTGAACGTCGTATGATTACTCAGCGCTTCACAATTTAATTTAAAGTTATAAACCTTTAAAAAATGAATGATCCGGAACCTGAAATACGCGCAAATATTAATATTAACAAATTGTAAATTTATAAAGCTTAAAGTATGAATTAAAATGATTAGAAATATGAGGAACGGTAAACAAAATAAAACTTAGTAACTTTTTTTAAGTTTATAATATTCGACATATTTTAAGATTATATTAAAAAATTATTGAAATATCGAAAACACATAAAAACATGGCTTAAAAAAGTTCTAACAAATGAAAATGACAATAAAACATCCACGCATTTTATCGAAAGTTATAAAAGTTTTGTTACTTGTAATATGTTTTATCTGCCCCCTGGAATTAATGTTTAGAACCTTGTTCCCAAGGTTTGAAAAACATCCGATTGTTGTCTATTACTCGTATTTACCTGCTGGATTTTTTAATCCGGTGGACAGTCCATCTAGAAAGGCCCTCCTGGATGAAGTTACAGAATCATCAACCCATACTTTACTTGTAGTGTGTCCTGCGTTTACCCACGTTTCATCAAGGTAATAAATCTTCCTGTTTTGATTTCTATATTTCCCAATTTTTGTTAAATAATCCCTCCTCCATAGCACAATTTCTTCGCTATCCAGTAGTAAACTATTACGACCCCGTTTTTTCCATTTGAAATTTAAATGCTTCAGTAACGCATGGAAAGTTGATCGTTTGAAATTTGGCAACGTTGTATCTCCATTTACCTCATGCAGTCTTTATCTATAGTAGGTATTTCATTCCTAAAGAAGAATTCATGCACTTTCCTCCTAATCGCATGCTTAAAAGCTTCATCCAATGATTTAACAATACTTTTGCGATGTTTACTGGTCATTAGCTCAGAAAAGGTGTGATTTTTTTTGTATTGTCTTAACACATTAAACACTGATGCGCGACACACCCCAACTTTGTGAGAAACCTTCACAACAATTTCTTTGATGGTTGATGCCTCGTTCTCCTCGCGCTCGATCTTATATATATTCAAAATGACCTCTTTCATTTCTGCACTCAGGTGTCTTTTTTTAGAGCGTTTCCTAGGTGGACTACAGGAGTTTACAACTTCATCGGCAGTATCTGTACTACTGGGCATTTTGCGCAAGCAGTTGATAACAATAACAATCAATAACAAGGTATAACAATAACAACGACAAACTCAACAACTTAATAAGATACCAAACGAAAACGTCCAAAGAAATATCAAATTGCAATGATGCACACGACATACGTAACACGTCTGAACCTGAATGTGACTCTGCCTTGATACGACTGCTCTGCCGCTCGGCATAGGCATTTAATTGCGACTTGACCAATGAGGGCTCCTGTTTTACGTCGAGACGGCGGCGTTAGCGTGAAAATCACCCGAACCGTTTGTTTACATCCGGTCTATCTCTTATCTGAATATACTGTAAATCAAAGTAGGGTTGGGTCTTCTATGCAGTTACTTTAATTGGGCAGTCGCTCGTTCGTTGATAAATAAATAAATAAACATTAAAGCATAACATCACCAACTGCGAACTATCCACAATGCACAAAGACTAGAGATAGGATGTTAAATCGCTTAAGGGATTCGTATGAAGCCAATTCTGTCGCCAAGGCTGTCGGAAATCTAGTGGGCGTTGGACATGACGTAGAGCGTAAACCCTATTTCACAGGTATCCATTACCACAAAGTGCAACCAGAGGCGATACTCTCTCAAAAATCAGGTTCTAACAACGCCAACTTGATTTCTACGCGTTTGGTGGGATTTCTGTTGCTGTAAGATTTAGGGGTTATCCGTGACATGTGACAGTTTTATCAATACAAATCAATTATCTAGTCTAAATGTATTCGGGGAAATAATAAAGTCAAATTTCTACATTGCTTAGCTTGGCATATGACAATCGTGACGTCTTGCTAATGTAACGTTTTTCTGGGTTCTTTTCGGTATGGATTAAAAACCTCTATTCCACAAGAAGAAATGCACTGATTTATTTCACTTGATAAAACATTTATATACACCACTATTTAAGTCTGACTAATTCTTATGCCACCATTGACTGAAC